TGTGCTTTTTTCCAAGGTCTCTATAAACGAGCGACATTTTCTATTGAAGACTAGACAATAGACGGTGTCAATTCGATCTTGATGTTTTTATATTCTTTTCAAACTAATAATATCTGACATTTTATTTTAGAAATGATTGTGACACAAAATAATAGCTTTTGATGTATGTACGTCTCCAAAGAAAGACTCTTGACGAATCATTATAAAAATATTTCACACCATATTAAAATACATGAAGATAGAACATATATATTCCTTAAAATTTTTCAAAAATATCAAATAAGATAAAAGCACGAGTCGATGTACTTTTCTTGTGAAACACAATTCATATTTAAGTGAATGCAAGAAACTAGACAGATTTAAATGAAATATAATAACATGATAGTAACGTACTTGAAAAATAAAAGCATTAAAATTCGGCGACGTCCATATAATTCGATGCATGTCACATAGAACCACATCGATGTATAGAATTAAGTATTGAGAAATAATATGCATAACGATACAAAAAGTGGCTTGTAGTAGTACAAGTTAAAAAGTTTCGAGTGAATTTATTAAATGTGACCTGCAACTATTTTTTTCGTACAATTAACGTGCACAGCAGCAGAACGACAAAGGTGACTCGGAGTAAATGAGTGATTATGTTTTCCTCAGTCATAAAAATTATTATACAGGATCAAGTAGTTGCATTGTTCGAATCCAAAAGAAATACTAATCTTTGCTTTATTTGTTCTTAAAAATAATTAATTCGATCTGAATGATGATTATGCATCTAATTGAAATTTTGATGGAATTCTCCTTTTTTTTTTTTTGTTCGATTATAATTTATGCGTAAAAACATGACTAAAAATTATAATATTTTTTTTTCACGTTTTCACTATGTCCTCATCTTATATTTTAATAGGAACACTATAAATATTGAATAATAATTCGTGTTAAAATGATGAAATATTGTTTTTAATATAAAACGAATAATATCATTTATAAATAATTGATCTTTTTTTGTTCGAAGTATAATTTTCTATTTATTGCAAGGTCAAATCATACTTTGATTGCACTACTAGTTCATGCGAAACATCATTTCTACGTTTGTAAGCAAAAGAAACGAGCAACAGTCAGTGTCACCATTGTTTATTTTTATTTCCCTTCTCTTATAACAAGCAAATGAATATTTTTTTTTGGTTTTTTTTCTGTTGAAGAGTCGAACAAAAAAAAACGAATATATTTCTTTATTCTTTTCTTTTCTCTCACATCATCGTATAGTGATAGTTTTCCCCCTTTATAGTGTCACTTCTCCTATTGAAATTATGCCTCAACCATGCTTTATCGATGAATGTAAATATACGTCACGTGTTTTATGTCATTGTTGTAATAAAAATCTTTGTCTTGAACATTTAAAACAACATGATGAATCGATTTATTTTGAAATAAATCCATTGGCTGATGAGATCAATATTCTTAGTGATCAATTTATGAAATTAAATATTGAAGAATTAACAAATAATTGCCGTGAAGAACTTAATCAATGGCGTAATGACTGTTATATGATGATTAATCAATTATATGAAAAAAAATGTGAAGAATTAAAACAACGCTGTATTCAACGAATTGATTTATTACAGTTAGAAATTGATCAGATACGATCAAAAGTAACGAATTTTATGTGCAAACAAAATATGAATATAGATGACCTTGAAACATTAAAACTAAATATATGTGATGTTAAACGAAAACTTGTTCAAATAAAAGTGAAACCTATGCAAATTGATTTTAATCCATTAATAATAAATGAGAATTTAATTTCTATTGAAGAACCCAGAATATATGAATTAGATCTATCAAGACTTTCAAAATCATATAGAAAATTTGATTGTACCGAACAAAGTTGGCCAACAATGGCTAGTAATGATCGAGTTTTATTAATAGATCAATATCCAAATATTTCTTTACTTGATCGAGATTTGAAAATTGTTAAACAATCTTCTTGGTCATATGGTTTTATACGTAGTATGTGTTGGTCATCAGTATTGTCTAGTTTTATTGTTATTAATAATGAAAAAGAAATATTTCTTATTAAAGATAATTCTTTATTAATTGAACATATTCAAATAGATGAAGAACAATACTGGTGGTCTTGCGGATGTTCTGACACATCAATATTTCTAACAAATGCAATAATGGGTACTAATATTTTTGAATTTAATATTTTATCACCATTTAAATTAGTTAAACGATGGAAATCTCCATTGTCATGTAAAAAGAATGAATATATTGATGATATTGCTTATAATAATGGAACATTAGCATTAGTAATTAAAGTTTCATCAAATAATACAGTTCTTTTCGAACTTCGATCATCAACAACACTTGATCGAGTTTGGTCACTTCCACTTGATGTTAAAAGAAATTGGTTTCAACAAACTATTCGTTGTTGCTCACTTAAATATGATGAATGGCTTGTGATTGAAGGAAATACTTCACTTATTTTTCATATTCTTAAAAATGGAAAAATGAAAGCTATGGGAAAATATAAACCACTACCTGTAAATGCTGTTCTTTTCGGCTCAAATATATTAGCTATAAGAACTAAGATGAATGTGTTTTTTTATAGATTATGATGTGTAAAAGCAAATAATTTGTTTTCTTTTTCTTATTTCTATGTATAAAGTTTGCTTATTTATATTATATTCTATATTAGAGAAAATTTTTTGTTATTTGAAATTGAAGAATATATATTTAGTAATCGGTCGGACTCATATGAAGTTATGTTTATGCGCAGTTAGTTTGGCATCCGGATGCGCTGTTATCCTCCGGCATTGGGATTGGTGCATGTCTACTTATTTCATTTATTTCGTAGCAAAGGTTTGTAACTTTTTCTTGTACAAAATCAACTGCTTTCGAATGATCGATTTATTCGAACGAGTGTTTACAGTCGTTTGTAAGAAAAAAAAGCATTACATTTTATTCTTTGAAGAAAATAAATCCTTTGTTTTTTTAAAGTTTTTCATCATATAAAGTTATCTTTTCTTTCTCACAACGTACGAAAATAAATTTCACTAATAATAAATAGTAATTTAGAAACATAATAGTGTATTATAACATCGTTTTATATGCTCGAAATGATGAGTAGATAGAGGATAGTGTGATCTAAATAGGAAGATTTGATATATATTGATTAAAATTGATATGTATTGATAAGAAACAAGAAGACATTTCGTTAAATTTCAAGGAATATTGTTAGTCGAACGGTAGAATTTGAGTGTATTGTTCTCTTTAAATGGCAAGCCGATAGTATAAGCTCAAATGAAGTATACACCTATCATCTATCGTCAATTATCGATTGTAAATTTTAGAAATATCCAAATCAATTTCACGCTTTCTCCTCATGGGAAAAATCTATTTTCATTTCACAACAACCGATCCAGCTGAAAATTTCAGGAAATGTGACCCAAATAAAGTAAGCTAACAGTAAAAATTTTAGTTCAAAATATTGAGTTGTTCAAGAATCATCTCTATATTAGAGGTTAAAAAGTAGGTCTCTCTTAGTTGCAGATTTCTCTCAAATCATATGACTTAACAGAGTCTGATTTTTCAAATTCTTCGCTATCAATTTTTGACGTCAGCTTTTTCTTTTGAAAAGCTCGAAAAAATAGTGATAAGGAGTGCGTGTGCTTGCGGTTATTCATGTCATTCATTCACAATCAGTCCTATCCATTCGTATTCACATCCACACTTACATCGACAACACCAGCTGTTTAAGTAGACAAAAGATGAGAGGAAGAAAGGAATGATTACAAACATGAAATAATGAGGTCGAAGAACGAGAAGAAAATGTATACTTAGGTCAGACGACGTCTTTTCTGACATAACACTCTCAAAATACTTTCGTAATTAAATGAACACTAATAGAAAAAAATAGAAAAATCACAACTTCACTTATTCGACGGCTTGAAATACTTTCTATTTCACACATTTTTGCCAGATTCTCCACTAGGCAAAACTTCAGAAAAAGTTCAAAAGGCAACAATAACTATCGTTTTCAAAAAAAAATATTTTTCCTGATTCCAGCATCATCAGTAAATCCTGTAGAAAACTGAAAAAGCATCAGAATTCATATAAATAACACTTTTTTCGACAGTACACAACGAGTGCTATTAAACCACATGAAAATCTCAATATTGTTTTTTTTTCGACGAAATAATGATTTTTGACAAGGGAGAGCCTAAATAGGTGGAAAACACAGATATTTCCTGTTAAAAATGTTACTAATTGGACAAGACGATTGGCTAATATTATATAAGTGGATGAAATTTCAATAGTTATAAAATTTACATTGGTTGAATCAGTTGATGCAAAAAACATGATCAATATAGAGTCGAATAAGATTAGTTCTATTTCATCTTTCTAGGAGATGTGATCAAAATGATGATATTAGTGACCTGCAATCGGGTTGGACATCCTGTCTGGTCGAGAGCATGGGTTCAGTTGTAAACTCCTCGGGCCGGTTCGAATTCTCTACGATTATTGAACAAAAAATAGTATCCAGAATAATAAAAAAATATTAGTCTAAATAACCATATAGAAGTGATTAAGTATAAACTAATCTCATTTAAGATAAACAAAATAGTTAATATTCAATCAAAGAATCTGTGTAAAAACATGATTCTATGTTAGTACTTCTTCAAATTAAATAAAAAATTAAAAAAAAGAATTTTTCTTTTCCGGATCATATACTCTTCAATAGTAACTCTCTATTATAGATAAACTTTTCAAAGTCGAATGATTTTTTAAATTTGTAATAAGAATGTAATAATCTTTAAACTTACTCTCGATAATAATAGAAATAATATATGATGCAAAACTGTTATATTTAATAACGAGAAACGATTTACAATTTTTAGAAGAAAAGATTGTAAGAATTGTTGAAAGTTAATGTCATTGTCGTTGTCCAACTGTTAGTTCAGTTGAATGTTTAAGATGTTCAACAACTTTTTCTTTTGTCATTGATTTGATGTTACTAAAAATGAAAAATAAGAGAGTCAACTAGAAAGTGATAATAGATTCTAATGTAGACATACGGAGTCGAACTGTGATTAAGCCTACAGCTTTGTGAGCAATAGTTACAAAAAGTTGTTGTTCATTGGTTTCTGTATAAGCTAGTTGAGTTAGAGGTTCAAATGTAACAATCTCTGACACGTAACCAAGATCGAAACGTTCTAAAAGTCTATGAAGATTGTAATCAATGAGCAGTAGAATTGCTTTACGAGCTGCTGTGATTACAACTATGATTAGGCGATGGTTTTGAATGATAGTCATTCGAGAGAGTTGTCCAATAATCTCTTCTTGGCAAATATCTGTCAAAGAAATATAGGATATGGTTCGAGTAGAAACATTTAACGCAGTAATATTATATGTGTGCTTGTCGACAACGAGAAGTGTTGAGTCTGTCTCAAAATAAGCCATGTCATTCGCACAGAGATTTGGAAAGCTAACAACATATTCAACTTTTGCTGAGTCAACTTTATCAGCAATGATTAGAATTCCTGTGGTATTAACAATAAACAACCATTTTCGATTCATTGATAGCAATGGTCCTTCCATTCCATTACATAAATTCGGCAGTATACCATATTCGTATATCCAAGCAATACGTAGACGATCCACTATACTGCCAGTTGTTTCGGCAGCAACAATTGTTCGAGAATAAGTAGTATTGTGCTGAGCAATCAAATACCATCTAGCATCATTTCTGTTAAGACTCATAGATCGTGATAGACGAAAAAAATTAGGAGGTAACGGTTGAACACCAAGTGGAAGACCAGAAACTTCTATACCTACAAACTAAAAGTAAAATTTCATCAGTGAAAATCATCTTCCGCTGTTCAACATCACTTTGTACATCATCAATTCATAATTCTATATCATTATCATAGTTTAATGAAATATATTTTTAAAAGCTTTAGAATGTATAACTTCTGAATTGATGATTTTGTCTTATCAAACTTCGAAGAATTGCTTTTCATGATACAAAATACGTGAAAAATGGTTTTCTTAGTGTTAACAAAGTGCTTTCAGGATACATCTTTAGACATTAAAACGTAGTTTTTATTCAAACACGAAACGTCTTGAACAAAACATTGTCGACTTCGAACTTGTTCTCGTACATGAGTAAACAAAGAAATGAGGTGGTATGTTTTTAAGGTCTCCCCCCTTCAAAAATCTATATCAGCCCAGGAACATCCAAATTAAATGAAACTTTCAGGATATGTTGGGGCTGGAAATGGGAGACTACCATAAAATTTTCGACCCGAAATCTTCAAGTTTTAGGGAGATATGAACCAAACAAGGGTAAAAAATGACTCATTTGACATCGCAAATTTTTCGGTGCTGGTTCGTTCAATATATTAATATTTTTTTTTTTTTTTTGGAAAGAGTACCTCAAGATGCAGGGCATGATGGGACCATTTTTTTGAAATAGTCCCTTTTTAAGCGCAAAAAAGATATCACACGTTCAATTACTGAAAAAAGTGTCAAAAAATGGTAACCAAATCATATAACTGGCTGTGTATTGACCAAACAAAGGCTTAATTAAAAAAAGTGGCTCCATCATGCCCTGCGCCTTGAGATGCTCTTTCAAACAAAACAAAAATATTAATACATTGAACGAACCAGGAAGGAAAAAGTTGGGATGCGCTTTTGAGAAAGCGGAAACTGAGAAAAAACGAAAAATATTTTTTGATTATTCAAAAAACAGCTGGCTTTTCGAATAGGGGTTGACGGAAATCTTGAAAATTTTTTGGGAAAAATGAAGTAACGAGAAAAACAAATTATCGTTTATGAAAGAGCAGATGACGGGCTATCCCCGCATGTATTTATCTCAATTTCTGAATTTTTGACGAAAATTGACTTTTTTGGAGGGGGGGGGAGGGCCTTAACTGATCAGTTTGCAGGTAGAAAACGGATTTTGTTTTTAAGGTCTAAAATGATTTCTTCTTTAGATATGAATAAATTCTTTGCAATCGGTAATGAAAAATAAATCTTGTCAAAATAAATCGATTCATATAGAACTCAACTCAGTTATTGATGTTTATTTTGAATACGTAGTGCTCTATCAAGTTATAATCTCATATTTGTTTAAAAATGAAATAAGAGAAATTTGTTAAAAGATTCGGAAAAATAGTCTGGAAAAAGTAGATTCTTAGTCTAAACATCTTAACTTTACAAAGATTGGAAATTTGACAAATACATCTTCTATATTCTATAATATTTCAGAATAACGAATAATATGTTTTGAACTTACAGAAACTAAATCGGCGACAATAATTTGACCATCATCTGTCACGAATGGACCTGCTAGTGGAGGAATTAACACTGGTTCGTAATTGAATATGCCTCTAACAACACCTTGAGGATCGACTAACATACATCTTGTGTTGTTGGCAGTAATCAAGAATCCTTCATAATTAACAATAGGCAATGATGCTATTTCAGTTTTTTCTCTACTTTCAAGAGGAATAATCCAGAGTAGTTGACCATTTGTCATATTTAATGATACATATCCAACATCAACAGCACATATCAGCGAAGATAGTGCGTTCGATATACAACCACGTGACGAAATTGTTAGTAAATCAGTACGCCGCCATTTTACATCTTTATCAAATCCATCAACAGCTATGTCAACAAAGCCACTTAGTGTGCTTTCACATCCATCCATAGGACATCCTGTAAAGTAGCTGTTGCTACTGGAAATTATCAAAATAATAATAATTAGAATTTTCATATTTTCTTAGTTAACTCGTCAACTTAACCACTTTGAATTTATACGACAAAATTACCAAATCAACAATGACGATGTATTAATAATATAAATCAAGAAAAAAAAGATAATAAAATGAAAAAGTATGAAAGAGACAAATAAAGAGTCATATAAACGAGAACACAAAAGCCAATGTAAATACACTCATAATCAAACACTTTTATTGCGATAAGGCATACTAACGTAGTTACATAAGTTCAAAAATAGAACATGATGACAATGCAACGATCATTGTATAAGTGAATGAATGAAAGACAAAACAAGATTGTAAGGATATAGACTTATGGAGATAATTGAAATTGACAAGTACTTGAAACACAGCATTACTACTGCTACGGAACTATCCCCGATGAAAATGCGTCGAACTCTATTTTGAAATATCACTTTAATTCATCGATCAGGGATTAAAGTACTTGAACATTCTTGATGAAAATTTATTTCAAATTTAATGAATGTTCTATAGGATACAAAGAGATAAGAACAAAAATAGTGTGTACTGAGTGGAAGAGTTTTAATTTGATCAACGGTTTTATAAGATAATTCAATTTTGGTTGTTAATATATCAGTACAATAAGATAACCTCGAATTGTAATAAAATTATTGCACTATTGATTTATATTTTCGGCAATATCATTTTTTTATTAAAAAAGATCCACATTGTGTAGACACGACGTCATTCTGTTAATTGCTGGAAGAACACAAAAGAACCATCAGCATTGTTTTGAAGACTTTTTTTGACAAATGAAAAATTAGTTATGCATCTATTAACAGCTTAACAAAATTATAAAGAAAATTTTTCACTGTTCTCTTTATCTTTGTTTTAGACTTGAAAATAGTGAACAAGAAGAACTTTTCCAAAGAATAGATTTTATTTGAGTTATGAGAAAATAATTAAATACTCTTGGTCGTAAATAGTCTGCATAAGAAAATGACTACTTCTGATAGGTTAGCATTTTCCAAAAAAGATTTATTGTTGTTAGTAAAACTCTATTAATTTATCAAACGATCTGAGTTTTACGATATTTCAAAGTTTTCGCATTATTTTCGAACAAAATTGAACACAATATTTCTAATTCTATAGTCAACGAGAACACAAATTTCTGATCATTACCTTTAATTTTTGACTTCTATGAGATATGGTGATCGAGACTAAAATGAGCAAATGTTAGCACCAAATACTTCAACCTATATATTCTGTCCAAAGTAATTTTTTGGATCTTTCAAATATTACCATATTACTCTTGAATAAAAAGGAAGACAAAATATCTATGTTTAGATTCAGAAAGAGTACAAAGTTTCGATTTCAACCCATCGTTTTTGCCTTCATCGAATACGCTTTCAGAGGATCCAAAAAATATACACACATTTTGTTTCAATACATTTGTCCCATCCATTATTCTTGATGAAAGAAAATGAAACAAAGTAGAAAACGTCTATGTGCACGAAACAGTATCATTGTGATATAACATACGAACAATTTTGATAATTCAACAGCATTAAATGATCTATTTCATGTGTATCTATCATCAATTATTGGATCTACAGTTCAAATCAAAAGTGTATTTATTTCTTCCCTTTCAAGACACAATTCAGCTAATAAAAACAAACTTGCTTATAAGAACATCCATTACTTCAACATAGAGAAAACCAGATAGTTCCATGCAGCACTAGAATAAAAATATTTTGCCACCCTAGACAACTACTGCTTTTGATTATTTGTAAAAATTAACGGCACTACTAACGCACTTTAAATATATAATAAAACAAATTCATTTTACATTATATATGCGACCAATTCGATATCAATAAATTAACTCTCAAACTATAAAAACTAATATAAAACTTTTAATTTTTTTGCTTCATATCACAAAACTCATACAAATATCTGCACATGCTCGACCACCGTGGCATCCCAATACATATTTGTATGTGTAGCTTCAATCAGATATCAGAAAAATGAGATTTTATTTATCAGTTATGGCACATATTTAATGCTAATGATCTGTTATTGTTTGAACTCTATATTTGAATAGGAACGAGACTAGTCAAGTGTTTACTTATTATCATTTTGTTAACTATATCTCGCATCTAATTTGTTAACATACACCGATTCTTACAAGGTTGTTTCTGTACACTTGATAAATGTCATTCTTAGTGAGATATAGAGCTCAATCAATAACAGATCATTAACATTATATATGTCTCATAACTGATAAATAAAATCTTATTTTTTTATATATGATTGAAGCTACACACACAAATATATATTGGGATGTTACAGTGGTTGAGCATGCCCAGTTATGTATCTTAGTTATGGTTTCAGTCAAGGCTTGTAAATATTTAGCAAAGAAAATTATGAATATAGCAATTGGCATATGAAGAGGGTTCTTTTTAACATTGTATCAATATCTCTTTTGATTTTCTACGCTTCGATTTGAACTTGTTCTTTGAAAATATAGTGCCTAATATTCGCTATAAAATTCGAATACAACAATGACTGTAGAAGAAGACAATTGACAAACTATATCCGATCTGCAGTGTCACTATTTAATTGTTAACGATCTTTTCCGTAATATAATGCTCGAATAAACAGAACGATTAATGGCTTTAAGCTGTTTTTTAAGAAGACTGGTCATTAAAACTTTAAAAACTAATATGAAAAAATTTTATAAAGAATCTCAGGAGTAATATTTTAAGAAAATATGTGAATCAAAGTTTTAATAATCGAAAAAGATATGCACAATAATACTTAGAGAGTCATTATTTATCTATTAACAGTCATATTAATAAAATGAATATAATAAATATGATAAATCCAGCTGTAACCATTATTGGCCATTTTACTATTGATTGAAAACCAAATAATTGAGTCGACATTCGAATAGAATTTATTGTCTTGTTTGTTTGTTGATCATCATGATCATCTGTATCATCATGTCCATATATTTCTTCAATGATAGCAAATTTTTCTTGAAGTATATCGATTTTATTTTTTTGAATATCAAATATTTTAGAAGATTTTTCTTCAAATTTAATCATATTTTGTTCTAATAGATAAATTTGTTGTTCCATACAATCAAATTCACTATGTTTATCTTTTCGTTTAAATATACTTTGACATTTTTTACATACTAATTCAATATAAAGACAATTTAATAAATGTTTCTCTTTATCAAAAATTGATTTAAACATATCTTGTTTACAACCTGGACATTGAATAATTTTATATTGACAAGATTCTTCTTCATGTTTTTCTAATTGTTCATAAAGAAGAATTTCTTGACAACCAAAAGGTTTATTTCGACATTCAATTGTTAATTTTGATAAAATTGATATTAATAATGGTGGACATTTTCGTTCTTTATAAGGTGAACAATTAAATGGACATCGAGTTAAGGACAAGGATTTTATCAAATAATCATTTTCATTATTATTATATATATATTCAATTATTTGTTCTTGTTGTTCAAATAACCATTTTTGAACACATTGACAACAAAAAGAATTTTCACATAAACTACATGTTACAGGTTTCCATAATATATGACTACAAATTGGACAATGAACTAAATCAACATGCTGTGCATTAAGATTAGTAACACGTTCTAAGATAATTGGATTTGAAGAAAATTCTGTTGAAATATTAGAAGTCATTTTATTTCAGAATTTCTATTCAAAATTAATGTTCAATGTTCGTCCAATTATATATAATTATATAATATAACAGGTTGGAAAATTCAGCAGCATGTATGACGACTATAAACAGAACGCAAGAATATTGTTATCTTGATTTATGAGTCCCTATATTAGATACATTATATTTAGTATATTTCAAAGTGACAGAGATTACGCTATTACTGATATGAATTGATTAATGTTGTTTTCTTCTTCCTTTATAGTTTGTCAGTGAATAGGAAAGTTACTGTCCTCTGTTTTCTCATAGATTGAAGATTTCATGTCAAAAATTAGGTCATCATAACTACAGAAAATAGGCAAAATAATTTTGAATATAAAGTATTTCATTTCTTTTCCTTAAGAATTTGAAAGATTAAAAGAAATCATTTTGTTTCAACTTATATTATTTAACTATTCACTGGTAGAATGTTGTTGTATGTAAATATATTATTCTTTATTCTTCATGCTTATTATTAATGGAATATTGACTTTGCTGCTATTGAGAAAATTTTTCTCGACAAGAAATAGAAAAAAAAGTCTGTTTCAGTAAATGTGAAATCAGCAAATGAGGTACGAATGACTCATTGTATGCAATACAAAAATTGATCTGCCATTAAAAAGTGGGTTATTCTAACAAATAGAACTGAAACTAATTAAATGTCTCATTATGTGTTCTTCATATTGACGTATAACAGATGTTAACGTCATTATTTACATAAAAAAAATGGAATGACGTTTTCCTTCTGTATGTTGTTTGACACAAAATAGTCACGTATTCACTCGATGACTCATCTTTGTTACCATTTGACATCATAAGTCAAATATGCGTCGTAGAAGTATAGAAAAAATTCAACAAAGAATGAGCTATTACAAAGAGAAAAATATATATTAGATTTCCTATTGAACAAATAATGCGTCATCGACTTGAGCCTCGCGTAGCTCAATTCTGAAAGTAAGAAAAGTTGATATAGAACATTGAATTCTACATTGCTAAATACATTGCCAAATGAGACTGAAATAAGGTCCAAACAGCTTGTTATGCGAATATAATCATCAGATAATATTGAAATCTACAATCTCTTCGATAGGTTATAGCTTGTGTTTTCTCTTTATGTAGAACGCATCTATTTACACTAGTGTTAGGACACATGTCACTAGTTTTCATTGTTGGAAATGTGTGACAATATGAATATGCAACATATAATTTATTCAAAATAAAAACACTAACAAAACTTTCTCATATGATTTTAAATATTTGTTACATATGAATGAAACTATATTGATGCACACAGAGCAAATTGTCAAAATAATAGTCACTTTGGAATTCTAAAATTCATGCTCCATAAGTAGAACGTATGATTGCAAGCTTTTGGGCACCAAAGCACCGAGTCTCTTGCAAAAACCAGTGTTCCATGTTGGAAAATTCAAAGTTATGTAACTAATGAGTTTTACACACTCACGAGTTCTAAAAATTCGCTCAATGTGCATCAATATAAAATGATTCATAAAGTTTGCTTTTATTTGAAGCATGAATGTAGGTTTCGATATGAGTTGATGAAGTTAGTCTCTTGTCTCGCACCCACACTACTGCACGCGGATATACTGAACTTTAAGAATGATGAACTATAATTGATTGAATTTCAAATATGATAAAATATCATCGATCCAAGTGGAAGTAATAAAACTCTTCGGTTGCCATGATTTTAAGAATAAAGAAATTTGACTGGCTTTATTTTGCGGCTGATGAGAGCGCGGATAAACAGACGAGCAATTTTCGTTCTGCACAATCATTCTTTCAGAATTGAGAATAGATTACATAATAGATGTCCAAGTATAGGACATCGTTTTACTAATTTGGTCTGAAGTATACCGCAAATTTTCTTTATTCTATTAACAAACAGCTAACATGGTTTTATTTCGAAAATGACTTGATTTCAGTTTATAAGCAGAAAGAAAAAAGAAAATTGAAGAAATAAATTCATTGTAAAGGAGAAAAAAATGAAAACTATTTAAGTCAGATAATTTATTATGTGCTATTGGGAGAACGGAAAGATTAAATTTGATTTAAGCTTCTACTTAAAGGATATATCTCATAACAGAAATGAACCAAACTCGATTCAAAAAATATTGAAGTGATATGACATCCAAGAAAAATAATTATAATGAATATGAATTCGTAAAGTGAGTCTAAATGATTTTCAAACGATTTAAAGAAATAAAAAGTAGTTAACGAACAAAAGCCTACTAACATAGTTCAACGATTGTGCTCATGCATATATACATACATGCTCATGTAAGCCAATGACTCTTTATATATAACTATCTCATCCTCTATTCAAACATATATCCTTGTAGCTAATAATCTATCTTACGACAAGAATAAATCATCTGTATGAAGATACTCACTTCTATATACTGAAACTGACGACCATGCTTGTATGCCTCGAAGAACTGCTTAGCAGCACTAGTATATATAGCTGCTCAAGATCTTGCCGTTAGTGTGTGGCATACTACGAGTTATGGTCAATCTAAACAGGTGAGTCATCACCGTCAGTCTAGGCAGATGAGTCATCATGACCATAATACTGTTTTTATCAATCATAAGGCTTTACTTTTTCACTTGGTCGCGAAAATACGTTTATTTCCTCCGATCCATTCTTTCATATAGTTAAAATTTTATTTTCTTTACGCATTAAATGTGCTTCTGTTTCGTTGGATTTCAAACAGTAAAAGCTTGTAATAAATTCAATTCCAACTAAACAAAAATTCGATTGTCTGAACATTAGCTGACAAAAAACCTTGATTAGCTGGACTTACGACATAAAGAACTCTCATCAGTCGATTTTGTTGAGTCAGTCAGAGCAACGACAAACATATCAGCATGCGAAGACTCATCTTTTCAAGGCTGAGAATAATATTTCAAATCCATAGAGAGGAAACTCAAACATTCCTTTCCTGAATACCTTTGGTGAAAACTTCTATTCAAAAATCGATTTCTATTGGTGCCTGACTCAGGAGTGGAGTTTCAAGGAAAATGAAGTTCGAATTCGATTTCCTTGCCTTCAAAAATCTACTCGCAACTTTGATAGAACTTCGACATATTGTTTCTGTGACTGAAAAAAATTAGAGAAAAATAAAATTAGAATATGTCATTGACGTCCGTGACGACGATTTTGAAAACATTCAGTGAACAAAAATAAAGCTGATAAAATTTTTAAAAGATATCTAATGGAGAAGGACACATAATAATGTGATTTGACTCATAGAACTTTTTTCATACTGAATCCAGCACAATCATATATAGAATGTAAGAACTTTCATTGGCGAGTACTTTGATACTAAATTTGATTTATACTTCAGGTACATTCTAGGATTTCCTCAACCATATATTGATCATATGAATATGCTACATTATCCCTTGAACTTGATGAGACACGTTTGTAAAACAAAGCTTCTTTGTATATAAGTTTAGAAAGAATCGGAAGTGTATTTGATAGCCGCAGTTTCAGGTTATATTTGTACCCGAAAGTCAACTTGTCAATGCATCATTTTAGAGAATCTCAAGGTATAAAATAGTACTACGAGAAATGCATAACGATCAAACCACAGTCTTTCAGATCAACTTATAAGATAGTTGATTTATTATTTCTTTCAAAATCAACTTACCAAGAGGTAAATGATTAACTCTGATCAAATAAATGTTGCAATGATGAAAAACGTGCGGACTGATGGTAACATTAGCCTGTCAGTGCAACATCCTTCAATAATAAACACAACTAATGTTTATTATACTATTTGTAAGTGCATTGTGTTGTGTTTTTGTTCACCATATGATCGTAAATAGCGAATTATTACTATCAAGTATGTTAATCTGGTTGCATTTTTCGCGATAGAAATGATACTGAATTTAAAACTATATGTTCATTGTACAAAGACAAAATAGTGTCTCTGATGTTTTTGAAAGTAAAATTTTTTTCGGTGTGATTTATTTTGTATATATTTGAAAAAATACTATTCAATTTTCTATAGTAGTCAGTTGGAGAGTTAAAATTGTCTTTTAAAAAGTTGATAGTTCAAGAAAACAGTCTTAAATTAAAATGATTATAAGTGAGTCACTATGTTTTGAAGAAAAGTTTGATTGGTTGTTATGAAAGATCTCATCAAGTTTCTCTGTCAATTTTGTGCCTCATATTAATCATCCATAGTCTGCTTTTATAAATTTATCATCTCCTATATTATCATAAGATCATTCTCAATAAACCATTTTGTCAATCGTTCTTCAACCGATGGCAGCTCTAACTAATACGGAAGTTTATGATAATATAACGAGCAAAAGTCCCTTGATATGATCGAGGTGAAAGAATTTTTTTTCTCTGGTTTGCCGGAAGTTTATTTGATCTCAATATTAGAAAAATTGAGACTATAATAAACAGAGGATCAAAAATGTTTTTATTAAATAGTTGAAATGCCAAAACATATTATCCTTTTTATTCTATGATTATAAAGCTTTTGTGTATATTCAATATTCATTCAAAAAAAAAAATAATCCATTGTTTCTCTTTTCAAATAAATATGTTGTCCATGAAACTTACTCAAAAAAGTATCATCCTCTAAAAAAATGATGTTGCCTTCATCACGATTTAACATACATTTGATGTGCGAAGAAGATCGTATTCCAGTATTAAATCTATTAACAAAATCATTTTTTCATGATGAACCTTTAGCTAAATGTCTTCAATTGGGAGAACCAATAGATTTTGCTAAAAATGTTATTAATGATGCTTTAAATGGTCAATGTTCATTTGTTGCATATGACATAGAAACAAATCAATTGGCAGGTGTTTGTCTAAACAAAGTGAAATATAAAGATGATACAAATACAATACACGAATCAAATGAAAAACTTAATTTTATTCTTCATCTTCTTCATGATGTTCATAAAAATATTAATTTATTTGATCATTTTCTAACAGATTATCTTCTTTACATATTTATTATCAATGTTGATAGTAATTATCGTGGTTATGGTCTTGCTTCAAGTCTTATATCAGCTGGTATTGAACATGCAAAAAAATTGCATATTGGTGGAGCTTATGCTGAAGCAACAAATATTTATTCATTAAATTCTTTTAAACAACAAGGTTTTCAAATTTATCACCAACTTAATTATGTTGAATATGATCAAATTCGTTTAGCTAATCTCACTGATAAAAGTTACGATCAATGTCAACTTGTTGCCAGAACACTTTGAACAAAAATAATAGATTTACAATTTTTCATGTAAAAGTCAAAAAGAAAACATAACAATAAAAGAAAATTTTCATCGTCAATCTATTTGTGCTATGAAAGAAAGAAAAAGCCAATCAGAATATCATACTTATATATATTAATTGTTAATGATTGTTGGAAATGGAATTGTTTAGATTCGGTTTGTTATAGAATGAATAATATTGTCCACGTTCACCTAAATTAATAATTTCATTCGAATTGTTTCAAGACCAATACTAGAGGAGGCCAAGTACCGTTACGTTACCAGTTACCAGGTAACGAGGTAAAGAAAAATTCCTGGATTTGATTCTTTCGTCAAGGAAAACTTATCTTACGAAAGTAGCGATTTCTGGTAAAATTTTGACCGAAGATTTTCATGATCGAGAAATTCTAATCTTCAATCGGTTTCACGAAATTTTATACTTGATTTCTCGATCAAGTTATTTCTACACCGGAGATCTTTGGATCAAACTTGATAAAAAAGTCGTTGCTTTTCCGAAACAGATTGTTTTTGGTGAAAAAATCAAGTACACAATTTCGAGAAACTGATATTAGAGATTCGGATTTTCAGACTCCAAAAATCTTTAGTCAAACTTCATAAAAAAATTACTACTTTCGCGAAATAAGTCTTTCTTGACGAAAGAATTAAATCTAGGAATTTTTCGTTATCCCAATACCTAATAACTGGTAGAGCAACCATGTAGTAACGGTGACTTTCCACTACGAATCACTTTCTATTCCGATCAATTCTAAGAATTGGAATCGGGTGTTGGTGCATGGTATGAGTGAGAGCGAAGTCTCTATTTCATCCACATCTAATCGTAAAGGGTTTCAAGAGTGTAACAATAGTAGTGTTCAGATTTCAAAAAGAAGAAAATTTCTGAATTTTTGGAAGTTTCAAGCATTTGCATTCCAATTGTTAAGTACTTTGCAAAATGATGTGATTTCCGAAATTACCGGAATTTCCAGTATTTTTAAAAACTTTTGAGTTACACTGCTCCGCAAGTATCAGGTTGATGAAAATTTTGAATACATATCGATAGAAGGAGTAGAGAAACTAGAGGAGCAAAATTTATGAAAGTCTTAATAGCTTGAAAAGCAGTGAAGTAAAACGAGATTAATTTAATTTCTCATGAACTCCTGGTCCCATTGTTGTCAGTCTTTGTGGAAGTTAAACTATCATTAATAATTTAGAAGTATCAATATATCATTTCTCGTTTGAGTATCATAGTTAAACATGAATATTGAATAAAATGGCTCTCTCTTATAGTATTTATATCAGATATGGTTTGTTGTATATTCAAATCATTAATATTATATGAAACCTTAATGACAATACCTTATAGTCATTTTATGTTTATTATATACTAGATATAATATAATCTTGTTAGACAGATCATACATCGTCAGATTTAATATAGATAATTTCTTACTCGTTGACTATCTTAATAGAAAAAAATAAATCATTAACTAGAAGCGTTGTTATATTATCTCTCACTTTGAATTCTACTATGATCATCCATATAATTAGTTTTTTAAAGGAGACTGTATAGCTTTCTAGAGAGCGTGCCTTCTAAAACAAAACAAAAAAAAAAGAAAAGCTTATTTGTAACAAATGATTCTTTTGTTTTATAAAAGTAACTAAAGTAGATCTATGTTGTTAAAAAGTTGATAGTGATATGAAGCGAGTAATCGATGACATTTTCTTAGTGTTTTTTGCTCGGCTTAGTTTAAAAACTATTATTTTTTTGCTCTTTCTTTATCTTAACATTACTATTTTCTTGTTGTAAATGTTCGTATCTTATGAAACATTTTGGTTTAGGAATCTAAATTGATAATATTCTTTTTTGTGTTCTTCCTCTCTTCTATGTCTTCATTTATTGTTACTTGTTGTTCGTATTCGTTCAACACAAAAGTCGCTTCGTACATATCAGTTCATGAACACGTAGCGTAAAACATTGCTTTTCTTTAGTTTTTCCGTCAAATATCTTAGTTGCAGGTAGTTTTGAACTATTTTTCTTTGATTTCAAATATTTTTATTCTTTATTATCGTCTAGGCCATGCTATTGCAATAATGAATCACTAAAATTACCTTATGAGAAATTTTATCATTATAACGGAAAGTTTCACTTACGAGAGAAATCACACTTCTTCAAATGTAACAATTCTCTTCTTTTTCTATCTAGTCAGAAAAATCTTCATTCGCGACTGCATAATCCGTTCACTGTTACTTTTACAAAATTTGTCGCATATTGTATTTTATATGTTTTTAAACAAGCTTTGTCTTGATCAAAAAATGAAAGAAGAACATACTTTGTTTTGCTCTACAATACTTTTTAAGTGTTATATACCGATAGAACTCATACATCACTTATCAGTAGGATTGGATAAAACTAGTAGAAGCATTAAGAGATTCATAGCAGAGAGATGAAAAAAGTCATTGAACCTACCGGCCTGCTTAGAGCAGAGCCTGATTTTTGAGCCTTTCACAGGTTAAACCGAAATCTTAGACAGATCAGGCAGGCTGCCTGCCTGTCATGTTTTTTCATTACATTTAAGAGTTAACCTGAAAATTTGTATTTTAATATAGAGTTTTTTATCAAAATTTAGAAAGTGTAATTTCAACGAATCTCTATTAAAACATTTAAACAAATATTCGATTTCACGCGGTAAGTTACCAGTTTAAAATGGAAACTGGCTTACCGTTTTTTTTTCTCTTAAAATCACCATTCAACAGAACCATATAAGTGGCTCATAAGTAAAGAATAGAGAATAAACTAGGTAAGTCGTTGAAACTGCAATCTATTTCTGTATATACAAGTACATAAATCTTTTGCTAAATATTCAACGAGAAAATAAACGTGAGCATTACACAGTGAATACTCATATCATTGCCTATGAGTAAATCTAAGGAAGAAAACTTGTCAGAGTACACAAACAATATTTATAGAAATAAAATTGCTCGAGTGCAAGCACGAGTAATTTGAGGACTCATGCTGGCAAGTCATACTCACTTGTTGAGTTTGTTCTCTAGTATGTATATTTTTTTCCTTCTTAGAATGCATAGTTTCTGTAATACTCTATCTGTTGAATAAATATAGTTGAAAGATTTATTTTCAGAGGAAGCGTTTGTCAAGAGATGAAATTCGACGACTTTTTACATACAATCAATGATTTTGGTCGATATCAAAAAATAAGATATATTTTTATATGTTTAACATATATGTTGCCACCTAGTGAGTGTCCTTGAACTCTATGCTTGTTTTTTTTTTTTTTGAATAACATGAATTTTTAAATTCAGTTATGGTTTACACATGGTCATTTACTGCTGCTAAACCATCATTTCGATGTAAAATGTCGGATAATGATACTGTTTTTAATAGTGATATTCCAGGTTTATTCAATCAGAGTCAACCGGACGAAGCATATTGCAAAGCAAATATGAAAATATCTGTTAAAGAATGTCAACGATGCTATAGAAAAATAATATCAGAAAGAGGAATAACACAAATTGAACCTTGTAATGAATTTGTTTTTGATCGAAAATATTATCAATATACACTGGTCGAAGAGGTTTGTTTTCATTCTCACACCAAGAACTAAAAGAAATAGTTTTTTAATTATTTTCTTATATTAGTGGTTGATGGTATGTGATCGAACTATATTTCGTTCAATCGTACAAAATATATTTTTTGTTGGTTATATGGTTGGCTCAATTTTTTTTGGAATTTTCGCTGACAAGTAAGTTTCTTTTTTCTAAACGAATTTATTTCTAAAACGTCTAATGAGTGTAATAAATTTGATTGCATAAAATAGCATATCAAAACATTTTTATGATAGAAATCATCAGTATTCATTTGTATTGTATATCATCGATTTTTTTCCTGTGTAAAAATCTTTAAAAAAAAACACTTCTTTCGAATTCTAAAGTTCTTATTAAAGAGATGTTTGCTATAGGATAACACCTAAAATTAAGAGATATTAATATCTCTAATATGTTCTCTTTCTGTTGATTTAACAAATAGTTTTACCTTTATTTCACCTATGAAAAGGAATTTCTATATTAATTGCATTTAATAATATAGTCATTTAAAGTTCAAAGTGCTATAACTTGATCTTTCAGTATTTTAACAACATATATAATAATGCTGCATGCAGTTGCTTTCACATTTACTTGAAATATGCGCATGGGGAATAAGATATCTACTAAAAACTAATAGCCAAAATGGATGATGAGATTCAATAATCATACACTGAAATTAACGATATGAAGTATGAAATATTTTACAATATGATACGTCTCGATTTCTAACTGAACATTTTGAATGATCTATTAATGAAAAAGAAAAAGAATGTCATTCTACTTGATTTTCATCGAATAAAAACTCGTATTTTCGTATGAAGGAGATTATTGACTACTTGGAAAATATATAATTATTGAGACAATATGCTGCTATTGCAAACACAGATAAGTTTTGAAGAGAATAAAATCAGTGTTTTATCGACCGTGGGAGCGAAGGGAAATCAGCATCCCTCCAAAGATCGTGTTTTTCGTTCTCTTGATGCTATAAATCGTCCCTCCGAAGGATGAAATCTAGATAAAACATTGAATAAAACAGACATAAAAATCATTTCCCGATAAACACTGATTGATTTAACTTATCAGTGTATTATGTTTTTCATAAATGCTATTTTGATTTATCATCTTGTTTTCTTGAGATATGGCCGACGTCCAATAATGAGTGTTTGTATATTGTTAATGGTTGTTACGGGATTTATTTGTGCCTTCTTTCCACAAAAAAAAGCATTTGGATTCTGGCCAAGTTATATAGTATATACAATAAGTCGTTTCATTTTGGCTTGTTCAACAAGAGGCATTTCTGTCACCGGATTTGTACTAAGTAATTATATATCTTTTTTTATTTAAAAATAAAATTGAAATCTTGAATATTTAAAAAATATTTTTGTTTCATGAAGATATAAGTTTAAATAAATATTTTTTTCATTTTTATGTTATCTAGTAACTGAATTAGTTGGTCCAAAGAATAAATTTCTAACAGCAATAAGTGTTAAATATTTTTTTGCTATTGGTCAATTATTTCTGGTTGTTTTTGCTTATTTCATCCGCGAATGGCGACGACTATCTTGGACTTTATCTATATTTATTACACCATTTATATTCTTCCACTTGTAAGTCAACGTTTTTCTTTGTTTTTTAGAAAATTTTGTTAGTCTATTCATTTGAATTTTCTAGTGTATTACCGGAATCAGCTAGATGGATGATGAGTAAGAGACATTATACCAAAGCTGAGAAATTACTTCGACATATCGCAAAGACAAATAAACGACCATTTGATGAAGAGGCATTTCAACGGTTGAAAAATGAACAAGAAAAAGTATGCACAACAAATATTCATAAAAGATACTAAGACGATGATTAGTAGGAGGGTAAATAAGACATCTGTTAATGTTTAAAAATCTTTCAACGTGACTGTATAATTTACATATATTTTTTTTTAGTAAATAGTGAGCGTACGTTTTAAGTCGAAGTTTTGTGACTCTCTCCCACTCCCCATTACAGACCTTAGCCACAAAAGACAACAAATGTTAGGCTCTTTTCCAAGAGTTTCTTGATACCTTGGCCTCTGCACAGATAAAAATTTGTATTTAAGATGTAAACGATAATGGGTAATCATGGATTGTCTAGACAAGCATGAATTGATCAAGTTATAACTTTCGTAAGAAATCAATATCAGTGTTTGTGTATACTTATCGAGCTATATAATAGTGCATTGAGAATTACTGTAGATATAATGATTATGTACAACAGGTTTATTTGTCAATTAAATCAATGGTTAAAATAATAATTATGTTAAATTACGAAAAATGGAACATGAGAAAGGAATAGCAACATGACAAAAAAGAATAAAGTGATAGTAAAGGTTGCACTAACAAGTTTTTTTTTCTTTATAATGTCCCGAAAATATATCTATTGAATAGATAGAAAGTTTTAAAATAATTCTATGTTAACTGAAGCATAATATCTTAGTCTTTTTTTATTATTAGAGCACACTTTGTCAATCACAACAAATTGGTGTTCTTGCTTTATTTCAAACAAAAATTATGTTCCTTATATCGATTAATTTATTTTTTCAATGGTAAATTTTATATACATAATTATACACTAAAATGAATCTAATTTATTTTTTTAAGGTTTGTTCAAAATTTAGTATTCTATGGAATTTCACAAAGTACTGGTTCTTGGGGTTTTAATCCTTATCGTAAGTAAATAATATACATATTTCAACTTGAATGCTTTCTTTTTATTGAATATTTAGTGTCATTTACGATTTCGGCTCTTGTTGAAATACTGTCTTGTATAGCAATACATCCTTTACTTAACCGAGTAGGACGAAAATTACCATATTTTATTGCTGCTCTTTGTTTTGCTATCATTGCATTAGTAATAATACCCATACAAAATTCAGCATTGAAGAATAACCAAAGTAAATTTTGTTTATTAATTCTTGTATGTATTTGAATATAATTGTTTTTTTTTCGTTCTAGGACAAACATTACTTACATTTATATTAAATGTATTATTGAAATTTTTTGCGTCTGGTAGTTATAATATTATTTATATTTATGCAAATGAATTATTTCCGACACGAATAAGAAATACTGGAATGGGTATTTGTTCAATGGTTGCACGTAAATAATTTTGTTTTCGTTTACAAGATACAAAAAATTCATTATTGTTATTTTGACTATTAGGAATTGGAGCAATAGTCGGAACAACCAGTAATGATATGTTGGTAAGAAAGATTTTGTTTTCTATTACCTGATGAAAACTACAAATGAATAATTTTCATATTCTATTTACGAGGAATGCATATGATAAAGTAGAACAATCATACATGCATCATTGAACAATGCAATACTTGTATAGTTCTTTTGATTTTAGACTCGTGTATGGATCAATCTTCCTACTATTCTATATGGAGTTTTATCTCTCTTAGCAGCACTATTTGTTCTAATCTTACCAGAAACATTGAATAAGTCATTACCACAAACAATTGAAGACACTGAACAAATGGGTTTAGCTTGGTATGTTTATTTAATAAATAATATTAACTTGTAGATTAACTTTTCGTAAACATCAAAATAACAAAAAACAATTGCATGTACCTTTATCATGGAGAAATATCTATGTTGACAAAAGTTCATTCCAGTAAAAGATTGAAAAAATATGCAATTCGTTTTTTATACTTTCTTTTTATAAATAGATGATTGTTTCTTATTTGAACACTTTTTAGCATTCGTATTCGTGGTGTTCAACGAACCATAGACATGGAAGAAAAACAATTCAATAAAAAGGAAAGTCCGAATCCAAATAATGCTCATGCACTGAAATCAACATGCGAAAGAAATCAATACAGTAATGGAGATGATAATAATTAAAGAAATAATCATTTGGTTGACGAACACTAATCCATATGAACTAAAAAATGATGCATTCACATATGGATAAAAAGAATTTTTTGATTTTTAAACGAAAATATTGCTATTTTGATTAATTAATGTAACGATATTCCAATATCGAATTTTGAAATATTTATATGTTTAGAGTTTACTATATTCTTACGAATAGAAATTTAATTCTTTTCGTACACATAACGAAAGAAATTCATTAAGTATCATGTTTAATGAATCTATGTAATAGTTGTTTTTCTTTTTTACAATATTAGCTTCGTAGCGTGTTGATAACATTATTGAATGCGTCAAAATTAATTTAATTGTTATAAATTGCTTCTAAGATATGTTACTTTATCATTATCCAGAAAAAAATTGCAGAGACAAATATGTTCTCATATTATAAAAGCACATTGAAGTCAACATTTCATGTCACTATCTTTCCATCATAGATTATATATAGTTGAAATTTTTCTCAACATATTTTGTCAAGCCTAAGTCAACAACTTTTTCTACACTCTATTTACTTCAGCATACACACAACGATGTATAGACTAGACATCAGCGTAACCAATGTTTTTTTGTCACGGTCACGATCAGTTTGGCCACGATTACGGTCACGGTAGCCACACCAGTCTCTATATGAACGACTATTTTCTTTTTTCTCAAAATAGCATACTCTTCTCTTCCCATAGGAGGTCCCTATATTAGAAGGCTTTCCATAATAGAAGACGCTCTTGGAGAAGTATGTGCGAGATTTAGTATAAGATCTCATTCAGTTATCGAATTTTTCGAAAAATAACAACTTCAACCACTGGATTTACACCATAATATNGTGGGTGTGGGTGTGAGTGTGGGTATGGGGTTTGGATGTCATCTTCTACACGAGCATACACCCACACCCACACCCACACCCACATCCACACCCACACCCACACCCACAACCACACCCACACCCACACCCACACCCACACCCACACCCACAACCACACCCACACCCACACCCACGCCCACACCCACACCCACACCCACACCCACACCCACACCCCACCCTTATTATCATGCGATAATCACATAAGCATCTACTCGAGACTACAAGGCTGCAAAAAATCAAAGTGAAATGTAGTAGTAGAAGAAGATATAGTTTAAGCAACATATATTTCACAGGTTGCCGTCGTTTGCGTACATTTCTGATCGAGATATCCTCCACAAGCAAGTACAGTTTCCTGGATACCTTGAGGGAAAAACGTGAGCGTGTGCGCATTTCGTGCTGTCAGCATGCTAGCCGCAGGAGCGAACGTGCGAGAAATAGGATCGAACAGGTCTACCGAGCTCAAGCTCTGAGACGAGGATGAGCTTCGTCCTCCAACGATCAGAACTCGTTTCGAATCGAGCAAATACACAGCTCTATGATCGGCTCGATCGGTACTCATATGTGCTTCAAGAAGACTGAATGTACTTGTCAGTGGATCGAAAAGTTCGCATGTAGCCGTTGTTTGAGAGTTAGTGTCGTACCCACCGCAGAGTAAGACTTGATTGATGTTTGGTATATACGTTGATGTATGTCGCGTTCGGCTCCGAATCATCTTTGCAGAAAATGAAACAAACGTGTTGCTGTCCTCATCGTACATATCTGCCAAGTTGGTGGTAGTGCTGAACGAATCATTTTTCTGCCCACCCGTGATAAGGACACGATATGAATTCTCAAAAAGTGATACAGCATGGTGCTGGCGTCCAATACTCATAGTACCATTAACTAAAACGATTGAAGACGAGAACAGATCGAATACTTGACCTTGTGCTGTAGCTTCTGAAGTACCAGTCTCAGTGCCACCTGTCAAGAGCACGCGTCTGTAGCCGGAGAAATACGACGCATCAGAAGAACAATTGCTCACTGGTATAAGCATTTTAGCCCTGACACCGACCGAATCTGTAATTGGATTGTAGATTTCAGCGTTGGCATGGGGATATCCACTGACACTCAAACCTCCAATGAACAACATATCATTATTTTTGAGAAGGACAGCACTAGCTTGAGCACGGGGAGAAGACAGGCCGCGCCCGAATCCCACAATACAGTTGCACGAGCGAAGGAACTTGTCAACATCATTTAGAACATTGGTATTGGTATCGTACCCTCCGGCAAGAACGACAGATGCTTCTTGAAGTATGTAGGTTGCGGTATGTAAAGCTCGAGATCGGGTCATGTTTCCTGCAGAAATCCAGACATTGGACTGCGTTATTTTTTGCGCTTGCGAGCCGATAACTGCAAAGATACATTACATTTTCAGATAGATAAACCTTATTTGTATTGATACATGATGCTGAGCGACAAGCAAACAAATCATGATATCCCGAGCACTTCAGTAAATAAGGCCTGACCTAGCCTATTTATATCTGAATCGGCCATTTCAAAAACATTCAAGAGTACTAGTGAGCTTCGATGCCTCTTATTGGTCCGTTTAAATAATGGTTTGAAACTCAGAGCTCCGTGAAACAAGCGCATTATGGGGCGAAAAAATTTTCCTTTACCATAGATTGCTATTGACAACCATCCTGATAAATTGAGCACAAAGTTTTTCTTAGCAGATGTATCACGTCGGTGCTGGGATCGCTAATTAATGTGCCGTTGGGCCTCTTGGCTCCAAATTTGACTATTTTCTTGCCCACATTGGACATAAAGAGGAAGATACATCTACTCCTCTTATCGGGTGGTCCAGACAAGGGGGAAAAAGTGGATTTGGGATCTTACAGATTCTAAAATCCAAAGAAGATTTTTTGGGATTATCCGGGATTTTTTGGGATTGCTTGAGATTTTTTGGGATTTCTTGCGATTTCTTGCGATTTTTCGGGATTTTTTCAGATTTTTTGGGACTTTTTTTTAAATTTCTGAGATTTTTTTCGACCTTTTAAACTTCTTATTCCTTGTCTATCATTTGAATATCGTATTTCCTATTGTCAAGCAAGGCCCTATCATCACGAGATACATTGACTTGGTTAAATCAATCGTCCTCTCTCATTCACAACAGTAGCATTCTTGAAGACTTTTGACCAGTCCTCTCGTCAAAGTGTAAGTAAAAACAGGTGGCAAAAAGCTCAATGTCGTCTATTTTTTATGTGTTCATTCATACTAGGAGTTTCGTCAGCTGTCGCTGTCACGTATTGAGTCTCCTTAGGTATGTCTATCTCAAGAAAGGTTAAGAATCGTATGTGCTAAAAAATAGTTAATCATATTCCAAGGAGGAAAAGCGGATTTAGGGATTTTTGAGTTTCTTTGAATTTTTCGAGTTTTCTTGCATTTCCTCAGGTTTTTGTTTTATATTAACATAATTTCAATCCGGTATGCCATATCTCATCATTCAAATTGCCTTTTTTTTCTTCAAGGTTATCTCGCTTCTTTCTGTCACTTTCGGAGAACGGCTGGCAGAAAACTATATTTTTCAAACCAACTTGATGTCAATTAATAGATGAAAAGTTATCATAGGCTTTAATCAACTGATTATTCCCTCGACTGAAAGGAGGGTCATATGAAATAAAATAGTTTGTTTGATTGTTTGTTTGCTTGTCACAAGGTCAAAAGAACATCCGCTTAAAGATCAATGCTCAGATATCTTCGATATCTGGTTTTCGTCCAATCACGTACTTTCAGCTTGGAAATCCAGCCAATCATAGATTTTCGATATCGGTCTTTGGACCAATCAGATTCTCTCAGTTCACAAATTCAGCCAATCAGGGATTTTCGATATCAGGCTTTCGACTAGAGACCTGCGGAGTCAACTTTTTTCATTCCGAAACCCGACTCCGACTCCGAAAAATTTCTTTCTTCCGACTCCAACTCCGACTCTGATTCCGAAATCTTTCTTTTTATGACTCCGATTCCAACTCCGATTCCAACTCCGATTCCGAAAATTTTTATTTTTTGACTCCGATTCCGACTCCGAAAAACTCCGAAATTTTTTAACAATGTCATTTAAAAATAAAACGTTCTCAGCAGCCAAAAAACACATTCATGACTTAACATGTGCACGTTTTACACTTAAAATCTCAAGTTTCTCTTAAAAAAAAACAGTTTATGGATGTTATCATCTTCAAAGTCGCTTTTTCCCCTCAAAAAAACCTTTTTGAATGTGTAAAAAATCCACAGTTTTGCTCCCAAAAACGCGTTTCTGTTACTGATTTTACCGGTCTTGGATGTTCTTCGTCTAAACAAGGGAGAACTAATGATGAAGATAGTCGTAGTACTTTGAATGACATTAATATATCTTTTTTGACTAATGTTGTTATGTTTTCATCTCACTNGTAAAAAAAAAGTTATCTATAAGTTTTTCATCAATAACATAAACATAAATATAAGCTTGATTACAAAGTTGATCTTAATTTACTTCTGTTCTTTTGGAAAAAGTTCTTTCATTGCAGTTTTGATATCATCAAAATCATTAGATTTAAGACGAGAAAAATCATCAGATTTTGACTTGTTTATTAATTCTAATAAATCGAAATAGTTTCTATCATTATTTTTAAGTTTTCCCCAATATTCTAATGATGCTAATGCTTTTTCTTTCGTATATAGAAATTGTTTCATTGAATTTATTTCGTTTTTAATCTTAGAATTTGTCATATACATTATGACATTCAATGCACATTGAAGATCAAAGGTTTGTTCATAATCATAGAGTGGTTCAAAACATGACTGAAATGATAATTTTGCATAATAATCTAGAAATTTTTGACCACCATATGTAATTGTTCCTTCAATTGGTAATCTTTTTGTCATTTCATAATTTTGGTAAATTGTGGCAAAGCCAAAATCGATTAATTTTAAATGTCGATGACTTTTATCATACATTAAGTTTTGTGGACGTAAATCACGATGAAGAATACAAGAATCATATAAATATTTAAGGATATCAATAAGTTGTTGCGCGTGAGTTAATGTTAATGATTCCAAAGGTTCTAATTCTTTTGAAAATATTATAAATTTATCTAAATATAAAAATAAACAAATTATGAAGAAGATAAAATATTATTATTAATAATCGTGAAATAAAGATGTTCGATATGAAATTTTTATGATTACAAATTCATAATCATTTAAAAATACATTCAATTGAAATTGATTTTTTAAATAAGAAATTGATCAATATCTTCTTTTTATTAGCTATTTTCTCTAAACAAGGACATAAAAACATCGAGAATTGCTCAATTATAATTTTAGATATATATCCAAAAGATAAAGTGATAAACATAATTTTAAAATGATTTTCTTATTACAGTCATTTTACTCAAAACAATTCAGACTATTTACTAATTTTAATGCAGGATTTCGTACGTTATATTTTGAAACAAAAACAAACATTGTGATCGATTCTCAAATAAGAATTTTTAAATTTAACCTAAATCTACATTAATGAATAATGACATTTAACAATCAAGAATGCAATCAGTTTGAAAAAGAACTAATGCCTATGACAAAAATGTTTAAAATGTAAGAAATTAGGTAAAACAAAAAAATCTGATCAATTTTAGAAAAATTAAATTTGAAGAAAAAGCTTTTTTTTTAATAAAAGAACTTCACAGTTTATTGACAACAGAAAGTCAAGTCATTTTCATCGAATTTGTATTTTGATGATGTGCAACTATTTACTAGACTATATTTTAGAATGTGTCTATTTAGAATTGTAAACTCTTTTATTTAATCTATCTCGAACTTTTATTTTTTATGATTTCCATAGTTTATATGAAAAAAAAAATTATATTAAATATCATTATAAAAAATCCTATACATCACTAAATTTCTATTCATTTTCTATAATCATACGAATTCTCATACAAGAAAAAAGCCAATTTTTCTCGATTTTATTCATAATGAAAATACTTTGAAACTCATTATGAATTATCAAACATATTAAGAACATATAAAAACTTCACTTGTTCGAATAGATGAAAGAAATAAAAATAATAGATTTTTATTTTCTTTTATTTTTCAGTTAAAATTTTATTAGTTATCGTTCTCCTTATTTCATATTTTGCTTCAATCTGTATACAGGATGATCCAAAAAGTTATCTGACAGTCTTTAATTGCAAATAAATTTTCATAAGAACTAAATACAGACCTGTGAGTTTCAATAATCGAAAGAGAAGATGAAGATGCATCGAATTTTATAGTATAAATTTTTTCTAAAATGTTATCTAGAATTTTCTTTATCAATTTTCAAAAAAAAAAGAATACCAGAAAACAGATTTCTTATAAAATATGAAAAAAGTACAAAAGTGATTTTTTTTTCATAGAAATTAATAGAATAATTGGTTCAGAATATCTACTAGAATACCTAAAACTTCAAAAGAAGTAACTCTCCAAGTCTGACCTTGGTATAGTTTTCTAGGTGTCCGACTAGAGATTCGAATGCACACCTAATCATAAAAAGTTCCATGTAGTCATCTTAAGAAATACGTTCGCTTTCAAAAATATCGGTTTAAATCCTTGAAAAAGCTAAGTTAAATTAACTTATATTATACATTTCTAGACGCGTCTTCATCTCCTCTTTCGAATGATGATAAATCATAGCTCTCGTTCTTGTTCTTATCAGAAGTTATTCGCAATCAAAGACTGCTGAATTACTTTTGGATTACCCTGTATATGACCATCTTAAAAACAGAAAAAATCCTATATTTTCATGTCAAATTAGAAGTTCAAGTAGACTCTTATGATTTTAACTCTTATATTTATTTACATACAGATGAAAATAAACTTATCTAGTTTTTGTTTTTCTTGTTTTATTAACTATAAAAATTGAAAACAAGAAGAACAAAAAATAAAACAATAACTTTTATTTTCAATTAATTTAATTTTTTCAATATTTCTCTTCATATTTAAAAAAATATTTATTTTACTCGAACTATTATCCTAAGAAAAAAAAGTAATGTTCTAGTTATTCATTTATTATGATCAGTAATTCTTTTTGCTTTTCACTCTTATTCAAACAAATTCGATTGAAGAACTATAGTTTTGACAATTTCAGTATCTTATAAAATCTTCTGTTTCCTTATATATTTTTCTCAATTCTCCGAAAAATAAACAAAATTCTCTATTGGGGTTTTTTTCTCAATAGACTTTGAACATATTGAAAACGTTAACAAAAACATTAATAAACAAATATTACCTTTATCTGATGAAAAATAAATACTTTGAAAATATAAATGAAAGTTATCCGAATTTTCTAATTGTTTTATCATGTCAACTTCGTTTTTGAATAACCTTGAATATATACTTCCTTTAGAAATTTTTATTACAAGACGTGGTGGACCAATTTTGAAATAACTATTATTATTTTTCTTCAATAAATAAACCATTGAAGTTAATCCGTCTCCTAATTTTCGTTGTATGTTATATTTATCATCATATAAATAATCATTTGGATTTATATTTAACGCCGTATATTGATAAAATTCTGTTTTCATTGTTAAAAATTTTAGAAATATTTTCCATGTATGTTCATTTATATAGCTTGTTTTTGATTGTTCACTTGTTGTTTTCATATTGACAGATGATGATGATGATGATGATGATGTTTCAGACAAATCATTAAATAATTTGAAAGATTCGCTTTGATAAAAATCATATAAATCCGAATACGGTTTCTTTTCAACATAATAAAATCTTATATATTTAATATTTATTAAAAAGCCATAGATCCTTTCACGAGTTTGATTACGTAATAGAATAGTCAAATTAAGTAACAATTGTCCGATTGATTCAGCATCCGTTATAAAAGTGCTTGATGATTTTATTTCACCAAGACAAACAGCAACATCTTGTAAACATTTACATTGTCCATCAATAACGATATTCACATTTTTATATATAAAAGTACAATCTGGAGCACGACCTTCTAGATATTTTTTTTTATATGTTGGTAAATATTTTAATGATGTATCCTTATTTAATATGCTTAATAAACTAACTATTAATTTATCAAATGCATTTTGAATATTTGCTTCCAACATATTAGAAGATGATGTAAGACGATGATAGTCTTCAATGCAATTTTTTAACTGATCATCAAGATCATCATTATCATTAAAGTGATTATTATCATGTAATAAAGAATTAATTTCGAACGACTTAATATGTTTTGCATACGTATTGAAGAAACCACGTTCACTTATTGCTCTACTCTGTTCTTCAATAAATGATGATGAAGATGGTGGTCCATGTGCTAATTTCATTCGTTTGCTGTTTTGTTCAACAAGTAATTCTTTTTCTTTTTCAATAATAGCTAATTTTGCTTCTTTTTCTTTTTCTTTTGCTTCTTTTTCTTTATCAATAATAGCTAATTTTGCTTCTTTTTCTTTATCAATAATAGCTAATTTTGCTTCTTTTTCTTTTTCAATAATAGCTAATTTTGCTTCTTTTTCTTTTTCAATAATAATTAATTGATTTTGTTGAATAAGTAATTGATTTTGTTGAATAAGTAATTGATTTTGTTGTTGTTGTGTTTTCTCTTTTGCAATATCTGATGTTAGTTTTGTTGGACTTAAAGTAATTTTCAATGTCTTTGAATTTCCTTGATCACCATCACCATCACTCATTATTGTATGTTTTTCGCTTGGTTTTTTTTATCTACAAATACGAGAAAAATTATTTGTGTAAAGATGATGAAATCAGGCTTAATATTAAGATGAGCTGCATATCGTTGCGTGTTCAAACAGAGTCGCCATTGTTTTAAAAGCGTTCCACTATATTTGTACGTCGTGGACGTCGTGAACGTCGTGGAAGCTAGCCCAATCGGATCATTCAACCGGATTAAAATAATTAATGATTCTATTGGGTGATTCTTTAATCAATAGATATCGTTAAATTCGCAAAACACCATTAAAGAGGAACACAAAATAAGTATATATTTTGAAAATGGTCGCCTTAGTGATGATATACAGGGTGGTCCAAAAGTCACGCACCCGACAAAAAATTGAATATCTCCATTAGGGCTTGAGCAAACGGGGTGATTGTTTTTGTAGTAATAGAGGTATGTACAAGCTTTAAATCCATAAAGACATGTCTAGGAAGACCATTTGTTAAGTATCACTACTGACCTCAAGAAGAAAAATTTTACTTTTTCCTAGTTAGAAAAAAAGTCACTTTGCCAAAAAAAATTGAATATCTCCACTATGGTTCAAGCTAAAGAGCTGATTCTTTTATCAATGATAGAGGCATGTTCAAGCATTATATTCATAAGGACATGCTTAGAAAGATCCTTTGTTAAATATATTGTTTTCTATCCTATCCGTGAAAAAGTAAAATTGTTTTGTTGAGATCATTAGTGGTATTTTATAAAGGCTCTNTATACGACGTGTAAAAGTGAATTGAACTTATTTTATTCAAAATAATTTATATTTCAACGAACCCATTCGTCAGCGGCACAGTGAAAAATAAATATGTTATATATAAAGTGCCGGCAATGCGAATTTCAAGCAAATACTTTTTTCACCTTTCTTTTACATCATTTGATAGAGTGTGAGCTGTTGGTCGCGAAAAACTACTTTTTAGCGCCAGAAAATGCTTCTTCCGGATCGAAAGACATGAAAAACTTGAAGGATATCGTTTTTTTACGAAAAACAGATCTTTTTCAAAATGTGTAAACTTTTCCGCTTCGTTCTTTTTTCCAGCTTCTAAAGATATTTTTTTCAAATTCAGCATCAAAAACTGAGTAAAGACAAGTTGTTAGATCGACTCCAATCTCGACAATTTTTTAATGATGGCGCTTCGAGTCGCGCCGAGTGCATACTTATAGGCCGATTTTGTAAGCCTATCTAGTTTTTTACGTCAGAGATGAAGTCAAATATTTTATCTCTTTAACTCATCATATCACCAATTACAAAAGCATGTATTGCGTTTTTTTTTCTTTGCTTTTCTTTGTCGAGAAGAACCTGTTTTTCTGAATTTGGGGCTAAATAGATTGAATTTGGCTCGTATTTCTCTATTTTCTTCATAAAAACTAAGCTTTCATGCAATAGCCTTATCATATTCGGAATCAGTGCGAAAAGCTAAATCGATTGATGTATGTTTCGAAAAATTTCGTTACCTTTGATTTTTTGGTGAAAATTTCAGCCAGATCTTCTCCGAAAACTGAAAAAACTGAAGTCAATGGAAAATGTTAAATCATATATCAATCGATTCAGTTTTTCGTACTGATTCCGAAAATGAAAGATTATTGTAGGAAAGCTTAGTTTTTATGGAGAAAAAGCGGGCAAAATTCAATCTATTTAACCCAAAATTCAGAAAAACAGGCTTTTCTCAACAAAGAAAAGAAAAAAATACGATACATACTTTTGTAACTGATGGTATGATGAGTTAAATGTGATAAAATATTTGACTTCATTTCTTACGTAAAAAAACTAGATAGGCTTACAAAATCGACCTACACGTATTGCACTGGGCGCGATTCGAAGCGCCATCATCAAAAAATTTTCAAGATTGAATTCGATGTAACAACTTGTCTTTACTCAGTTTTTGATGCTGAATCTGAAAAAAATATCTTTAGAAGCTGGAAAAAAGAATGAAGCAGAAAATTTTGCACATTTTGAAAAAGATCTGTTTTTCGAAAAAAACTGACGCCCTTCAAGTTTTTCGTATTTTTCGACCTGAAAAAAGCATTTACTGATGCTAAAAAGTGGTTTTTCGTGATCAGCGGCCCACGCTCTATCAAGTGATGTAAAAAAAAGGAGAAAAAAAATTAACTTGAAGTTTGAATTGCCTGCACCTTAAAATGTCTTTATTTTTTGAAAGTTTAAATATATTTGGAAATGCCTTCGCTTTTAGACGAACATCATCTTTTTTGTTGCTCTTAAAAGATTTCTGGGTGAACTAAAAATTGTAAAAAAAAATGAACTTTCTGCCAAATTTCTATCCCCCCCCCCCCCCCCACTCCTAGAAACAATCGACAACCCTGTACTAGTGTGATTTAGCTAATAGTCCTAAGCCAATTATTTAATACGGTTCAGAAAACCTAGATAGCGATCGTGATATAAACTTTCTATCACATTTGATGTTCTATTTCACTTTTGACAAGAATAACATGAACAGAAACTGACATCACACTTCTTAGAGACCTAATAAAACAGTGTGTGCCTATTTCGTCATAACGACATCACTTTTCTGATTGTACAAATAATATGATTTTATCGTTCATCCAAATTGTCATCTAACATGTTATGATAGAACTTAGCTTCTATTGATTTTAGCAGAAATAATAAATCAATTGTGTTTTATTATATATATAAAATTGACATCGTTTTTACAGTATGGGCTTTAACTTTTTTTTAAATCCATCTTAAAGAATTTTAAAAGTTATAGAATTTTGTAGTCCGTGAAAAATGCTATCTAACAAATTATAATAGAAGCGGGCTTCTCTCCTAGTTTTATATATTAAAAGTTGATCTGAAAGACTAAAGCATCATCGTTATGCGTTTCTTACAGAACTATTTCATACCTTAAAATTCTGTAAAACAATGGATTAACAAGTTCACTTTCGGATACAAATATAGCCTGAAACTGGGACTATCGAAATGTACTTTGAGGCAGTTCCGATTCTTTCTAAATTTATATGCAAAGGAGTTTAGTTTCACATACATGTCTTATCGAATTCAAGGCATAATTTAGCACATTCACATGAACAATATATGGTTGAGAAAAGCCTTAAATGCACCTAAAATATAACACAAATCTGGTATCCTAGTACTTGCCGATTAAAGTTTTTGCATCCTATATATGATTGTACTGGATTCAGTTTGAAAAAGTCCTATGGGCCAAATCACGTTCTTATGTGCCCCCAGGTAAACGAATTCGGAGTTCGTATATACCTGTAGACGGTCTGATACGTTCACATACGACTGTGTACGGCGTATTTTAGTGGTTTACATGGTTCAGTATTACGATCGTGTATTGTCGTGACTGTATACAGCGAGATACGATTGTATAGGGAGAAACATGGAGCAAAACGGAGATGGTATACAAGGGTCATAGCCGATCGTTTTTTTGCTCCGTATACCGTCGTGTATCCTCGTAGATGACACGAAGAGTTACGATTGTAGTACTGAACTATTTAAATCGCCGTATTTGTCCTCATACAGTCGTTTACAACCTTGTTTGTTTGACTTGGGCTCCTGCTCAGGACGATGATTACAGTCGCCGTAACGACTAAAAACGATAGTATATACTGTCGTTTAACACTGTTTACGGTTGTAAATTGACAGTTTGGTAGCGACAGTATTAAGACCGCTTTTTATTGTATCGTATATGATTAGTAACGGTCTGAAAATCGAGTATCCGATCGTTTTCGCTCATTTACAATACGACCATACTACTGTCGCTACCAAACGGGCGAAATACAATCAAAAACGACCATTTACGACCGGTCTTATTTGATCTGTGTATGCTCTCCTTTCTTTTTTTTTTTGAAAGTAGAAAAATCTTGATAATGCTGATGAAATTCATGATAAAAGAATTCAAACGAAAACTTATACTGAGAAACTTTTCTCCTTAAAAAAAAAGAAAAGAACTGACATAATATAACTATAGTCAATGTTTCGATGTTTATGTTTGCTTAAGGAATGATTCGATGTCAGCAGTCTCTTTCTCACTCACATGCTCTTGTCATTTTGATATTAACTATGGTAGCTGCCAACTTTCGCATTTCTTTTCTCATTACTAAAGGTAACTCTCCTTTACTTTTTCACACGTGGTCAAAGACACGTTTAGACGCGTAAACGAAAAAAAAAATCTCTTGCCTGATAACACAACGCTTGTAGTTGGTTGTTTTATGCATTTTCAGTTACCAATAACTATTATTCGTCAACTTATATTACAATTCTTCTCTGGGGTGATACACGTAATTCAATAGTCGTTTTGACAACAAAAAAACAGTCAAAATAATCAGTATAATAGGAGAGAACTGATCATGAGTATAACAATTCCAAGATTATGGCATCTAATTCAAATGTTTCTACTGGTAAAATACAATTAAGAATATATTCAGACCAATGACTATTGAACTATAATCTTCTTTGTACTATTTCAGGTAACTATAATAAGTACTAATGGTCAACTGAAAAATATTACTGATGATTCAGCAAGTATTACATCTGAAGTTCATTTTTTTATGACAGATTCCATACATCCTTCAAACTCAGGTTAGTCACTAACCTTTACAAGTATATTTATTGCATAACTTAAAATAATATCATAGATATGAGTACCGAATCATCAATGTTCATAGAGAATGTAGATGACGTCACTAGTGCGAGTAATAGCGTCAGCGATACAACGATTCTAAATCAACGAACTAATAATTCGACAGCAGACACAGCTGTTTACATAATCATTAGTGTAAATGAAAATTTCGTCAACAACTCAACGACAAGTTCTAGTACAATAGCAACAACAGAAGCAACAACAACAATAACAACAACAACAGCAGCAACAACAACAACAACAACAACAACAACAATAATAATAACAACAGCAGCAACAACACCAACAACAACAACAACTACTACTACTACTACTACAACATGTAAACATATGATTTTTGTTTCTTAGAAATCCATTTAACTCGTGTGCTACTTCATTTTTCACTTATGATATGTTCTCCTAAAGAATCAAATGTCATTAATGTAACTGAACGTACATCATCAATGTTCACGGCACTGATTACTTACGACTGTTCTTTTATGAACGTATCTGATTTAAAAGTAGACTCTAACACATCAGCTAATTGCTCTACCAATCAAAGTTTATCAAACGATAATTCAAGTAGTGAAGTTAACGTTACATGTCACAATATTGAAAATAAGGCTGGTCGAAACTTTGAATTCACTCTCAGTCAAAACAACAGTAATCAATTTATTAACACGACAACTTTCAACGTTACACTTAAACCATTACCTCTTAACACTTGGGCAGATATCACTATAACAGTCGATACAAATCTAACATCAGCATCAATTTCAATATTGAATTGTGAGAAAATAGCTGAACAAGAAAAATTCATGTTTGCATGTGATAGTTCCAATAAATCAAGCATGTCTTCTCTAATAAACTGCTCACACAAATGTGTCAATTTGCTACCAGGTTCTTCTTATGAAGCATCATTGATTCGATTGCCTATTACAATAGATGACAAAAAAGATGATACATTTCCAGAAGAAAATATAACTCGAAAATATACAATAGGTAATAGACAGATGATGATAAATTTATGATTCAAAAATTTTGATTTTTCTTGCATTTCATTGTCATTTTAGATCTTGATAAAATAACAAATTTGACTTTCGATGGAAGTTTGACGGAAAATGGAGTAGCAGTGATTCGCTTCAATCATCCACGTGGACATTATAATGAACTTCGTTTCAGTTGTAATGTACAAGATCTAAATTGTTTCAGATTTGATCAGAGTCTAACCAATCATACAACAAACTGTTCAAACTGTAGTTTCTTTTCGGTACCTAAAGTAGTTCGAGGAGTTAAATATACATGTCAAGCTTCGACCATTAAAGCAGGTTTCAAGGATGTTCCATCAGATGAACTTCAGTTCAACACAGGTGAATGATCAAGATCACTATAAATCTACTTAATAATATGCTGATTCTATTTTAATTAGCTCTAACATCTGTATACTATAATGGATCGACATCCTTTAACACAAGTCGTATTAATTTCGATGTTATTAGTCAAAGCGATTTTGATAATATTACAATAAATTGTACGGTGTCTGATAATCAATTACCTGCTTGTTCTCATATTACAGTTCAAAATAATAATAATTGCTCAACAACTTTACAACTTGATGGAACTCGCGGATGTAACTATGAATGTTCTTTTATTACACAAAAAATAAATTATACTAACGTATATTCAGAACCGATCAACATTTCACTTTGTGATTACCTTAGGAAATTAATCAAACAAATCTAATGCATATTTATTTAGATCCTCCAATACCAACGATCAAAGAATATAGAAAAGGCTCTCGATGGATATATATAACATGGAAGATAAATGAAACTTCATATATTCAATCTTTTGATCTATTAAAAGATGACACTTACATAGAAAACTTAAATAACACAAACTTTTTAATTAATGATACAATGTTCTCTTATAATTATACGAATGATATTAAACCCTATAAAAGGCAAGTAGTGTTTTTTATTGTTTAACAGGTTTCGAAAGACGTATTTATTCTGTTTTAGTTATGAGCTTTCTGTTCAACTCAATTCAAATATGAATGTACAATCTAAATCGATTGTTGTTGAGACATTATCAGAACGTGAGTAATGCAATTTTTGTTGTTTGAATTTAATTTGATATCAATTATGTATAGCACCTATAAGACCATTTGATAATGAAGTGAAGAATAAAATTAAGCCACAAGAAAACAATGAGGCATCAACAAGCAATCAATTTGTCATTGAGATAGATTCATCATTATTTTCTAATGAAAGTGGTATTGTAAAAAAATATTTAATTTATGTTCGTCAAAGTAAAAATGTTATTTTCATTTTTATTTTTTGAATACACATTAAAAAATATAAATAATTTACTTTAATGTAGATCAAAATAATAATATGTCAGAAATAACTTTAAATGGAACATATATGGAGGCTTGGAATAATGTATCGATCGATTATTTGGCTCTTGAGATTCCAATCAATTCATCAACAAAATCTTGTAAGTGATAACAGAATAATTTTATTCAGATGAAAATATGCATATTTTCATAAAACAAAATTCTTATGTAGTTTTGTTTTTCTCTTCGTATAGTGATGAAAAATGATGGAAATATCAGTGTATTAGTTGGTAATGAAACAATATGTCTCAATAAGTCAATAAAAACAACTCCATGTAATGGTCCATTAAAACCTTCGACAATCTATAAGTATATTTAATCTTGTTTTTCTTTGAGTTTCTTTTTGAAAATGAAAATGAATAGATTGATTGTGGGTGGCTGTACAATTGCTGGTTGTACTCATGTGCTTTCCGAGCAATTTAAAACACGAAGTGAGTCATATTTACATTTTTTTATTTTTTTTTTTATTCCTGTTAGTATTGTTCTTATAAATAAAGTTGTATTACTGCCACCGAACAAACCAGGATCGTCAAAAGGATGGGTTGCTGCATTTCCAATTTTGGCTATTGCTATTGTTGCTATTCTAGCTACATGGAAACGAAAAACACTTGGAAAAAGGATTAATCGAAAAATTAGGAAAATAGAAAAGTAAAAACATTATTAGATATTGTTTTACTTTCATGATGAATTTTATTTTAGGAATTCAGAAGATTTAGGGTAAATAGAAATGAAATATTTCTTTATCAAGAGAAATATCAAAGTTTTCTAAATGTAATCTGTTTATAATTATAGTATATCATCAATATCATTATCATCGATATACGTCACTCCACTGATGAGGTAAGTTCTCGTTTATGGTTAGAACTCATGAGTAGAATACTGCACGGGTATAACTTTCCGTACTCGTACCCAGGTACAAGTACTAGCATAGATATTCAACCTATGGGTTACATTACTATGATGCACCGCTGATAGTTTAATAGAACAACCAATCAACAATCTGATCAAGGATATCGTTATTAAACAGCAGCATTTAAAACATATAGTTTTGCATTTTGTTTTATATTGTACTGTTAAAAATAAAATTTGGATATCTATGGATTATTACTTTTCATACTTGTACCCATACTAGTAACGATAACGAGTATCCGATTTTCAGGTTGCAGTATTTTGTTCATAAGGATGAAAATAGGCTGAATGTTCAGTCATCCTATTTTTCTTATATAAATAAATTCTTAGAGATCATATGATTTATTCTTATTTAGACCAAAACCACTTTCTAAATATATTAATATAACGGACGAAAACGAAAAAGCAATATATGCCGAATATCAAGTCAGTGAAAAGATCATATAAAGGATGCAGTAGAATAAATGATGACCTCACTATTTTGGTCATCACTTTTTTTAGTTTTCATTCTATTGAATTAGTTTTTTTTTCTTTTTAAAGATTCTCTGTCTAATTCTCTCTACAAACTGGTATATGTCATTTGACAAATATTATTTTTTGCATTGTCGAACAATTGATGAAAGTATTGAAGTCAGTAATAGCAACTTTTTCTCCGTCACCTTTCAACAGTCTAATCCGTTTGAATTTGGTTTTAACATAAATAAAGTATCTATTAAAATGATATTCGAACCGGAAAAATTTAGGAAATGTGCTGGAGTTATGTTAAAACGAAATTCAAGTTTGTTAAAACCGTTGAAAGATGATGTAGAAAAGTTTTCATTGTTAACTTCAATACTTTCATTGATTGTTAAAAAATAGAAAAGATTATATTTGTCAAATGAAATATTTCAATTTGTAGAGAATTAAACGAAGAATGTTTGAAAAGAAAAGAATAGTTAATTAGAATGAAGACTAAAAGCTTATGATAAAATAGTGAGATTATCATTTATTCTGCTGCATCTGTAACTAATCCAAGACTTGATAATTACATGTAGGAATTGGATAATACCTCTCCACAATATCGTCAGTCAGAAGATGAATCCGAATATGCAATGTATAACCGATATTCTAACATTCCTGCTCGAGGACCTTGTATGTAAATTGATTTTTTTTTAAATATAACTTAATTCTCTTGATCCTATGTAATCACAGGGCAACGCACAGCTGTTCAATTAACTGGTTCTCATCGTACTCATGATTATATCAATGCAAATGAAATTAAAGTAATTTTATAAATTGAAAATATTTAAAACAATATCTATCTTATATAATAGGGATTCTTTAGTGAAAAACAATATATAGCTTGTCAAGGTCCATTAGAGAACACTTGTGAAGATTTTTGGGACATGATTATTCAATATGGTGTAAAGAAAATTGTCATGTTAACAAGAACAGAAGAACGAAATCCTCATAATCCTTCACAAACATTAGTAATAATCATTATTCTTAAGAAAGATTTCAAAATTCCATATTATATTTTAGTCGAAATGTTATCGTTATTTTCCTGATAAAAAAGGACAATTTGTAAGATTTAATAGAGTAGTTGTTGAAGTACTCGATGTTGACAATCAAACAAATGTTGATCTTGAAATTCGTCATTTACTTATTAAAGCCGTATGTTTTGTTTTTATTGAATTTTTATTTGAATTTATGTTTTTTTTTAAGGATAATATCGAATATCGCGTATTTCATTATTTTTTTACTGGTTGGCCAGATTTTAGTGCTGTTGAACCACAAAAATTATTGGATCTTATTCAAAATATCAACAGTCATGGAAAAAATCAATTAAGTTCAGTTGAAAGATCGAAAGAAGCTTTATTTATACCTATAGTTGTTCATTGCAGGTTGAAATTTATGTCAAAAAAAAAAAAAGAAAAAAAATTAACTTTTTATTTTATTCTTTTTTTAAGTGCTGGTGTTGGTCGAACTGGTACTTACATAGCCGTAGACATTATTATGCGTTTAATTGATCGAGAACAAAAAAATTTATTAACAATGAAACTTGATGTTATGGGTATTGTTTATCAATTAAGACAAGATAGAGGGAAAATGGTACAAACTAAGGTAATTTATAATTTGATTTACTTGTCAATAATACATATTCTTTTTATAGGATCAATATATGTTGGCAAATCGTTGTGTAGAAGAATATTTAAAACAAACTAATCGATTAAATGATAGTAAGCTTGTTTTATTAAATATTGACGAGTAATTATGAAAGAAAAAAATATTAAAATTATAATAGTTCTCAATTATGAAAAAATTTTTCTTATAATTCCAGAGATGTCGAAACGTTTTGTTTTTCTTTGCGTTGTGATAGAGAGGAAATACTATGACTATGACACATCTTGCTGTCATATTAACTACTTCGAAACAATTCTATAACTATTTAGAAATATAAACTACATGTTTTATGCTTAGTTTTGCAACAATCATCGTTATACGAAAACGTTAGTATGGATTCAACAAAATATAATAACAATGCAAGTACAAAATCATCATTGAATTATGCTAATAAGAATGAATACAGTCCATCTGAAGCCGGTAATCATGTTTATCTTACCAATTCTGTTTCACCATCTACACATTGACATTCATATAATGATCGTCACAGTAAAACAAGAGATAATGATTCATCACTTCGATCGTGTCGAACATCTATAAGTAGTCAATTATTTCATTTTTTTAAACGAAATTCTTTGAAAGAAATTATAAATTACTTATTTCCGGTGTGCAGCTGTTCTTTTCTTTTTTTTGTATTGTATTATTTTTTGTTTTTTTCTTATATTGGGATTAATGATTTATGTGATGATACAAAATAATAGATGTGATATTTATTTAATGCCATTTCATTTCTTTTTCTTTCAAGCGTAGGAATGAAGAAGACTTTACAAACAAAATTAAAAACTATGTTATGTGTAATATAGATATACATATTATACAATCAAAATTAGGATTCGGTCAATTTATGAATTTATACGGACAAAAGTGAAATTCGAACTTTGATTAGATTAGTTTTTGCACAAAATTCAAATTGAACTCGAAGTAAATTGTTCAAGTTGAAAACAGTTAGAGTTTGAATCAACAAGGGTGTAAGTGTGGGTTAGAGATGAAACCAACCTGAATGACTTATCAGACCGGATCGGACTGACAAATATACTAATTTAACCTGTCCATCGATAGAGTGACCGGTATTAGGACTGGTTCGGTTTAAATCGACTGGTCGTCAGTGCCGATTACATGTATGCTGTAGAGTGTCCGTATTAAGAGAAAATACGCACCTTTAATATTGGAAATAAATCTTCCTTCTTCTGATAATAGAAGACCCACTTGAAGGAACGACGATCGGAAGTTATAAAATATTCTCTTTAATTAATTCATATCTCAAAAAACTTTTCAGTGTAGTTCTATATGGGACCAAAGAGTGGAAATCAAGATTTATTATTGCGGTATCGAGTATAGAATTTAATTCTGAACTAAAATTCTGTAACACATATCCAAAGACGCAAAATTTCATGGAGAATTTCAGTGAAATCTTTTATAAAAAAACAACTGCTGCTATATTTTGAGTTTTTTGAACGTTGCACTTGAGCACTTGAATCAGTGTCCATCTTCTGAGGTTGCCTCTAGCAAAGAATACTTATTTGAAAAGCCATATAGACAGTTTTATAGAGTTTCAAATTGTTTATGTTTTGGTATATAAACAATATGTTTCTAAGAATAACAAGTGAGAGAACAAAGCACCGAGTTTTAATACAATCAAACCTAGGCTATCTGTTAGAATAAATGATTCCAAACTGAACTCAGTATTAGTGATTTTGATTCCTATCCGAAAATGAGCTGACATTATTGATTTCGATACAATTCTGCAAATGAAAAAAAAAAACTTCGATTCTAAATAAACGTTCACTTTGTCCATTCCTACTACAAGGTAACATGTTATTATATAACAAGTGAAAATTCTGATTTTTGATTTTCAATAATTGAATTTTTCCAAGAAGAAATAATTACTCATGAAAAAGGCAAAAAATGAATGTGTATTTCTTAACAAAAAACAATCATTGAATATTCAAACAAATAGAATTAAGTAAACATTTCAGGATCAATTCAGTTAGAAATATTATAGTAAACATCAGATTTTCCTTAAAGAAAATCTTAATGAATAAAATGAAAGAATATTAACTTGAGAAATATTTTTCGAATATTAAAATATTGTATTTCGACAATACAAGAAGAAAAACGAATGTTTTGAAAAAATTTTAAAAGAATAAATCTGTTTCTTGGACTTATTTCTGTTCGAATATTGCAAAAACCGCATTATGATCAGTAGCATTTTGAGTATTAATAATCGAACAATCTTTTAAAATCCATGAGTCATTAATACGAGGACGTAAATAAATATAATCAATACGAGTTTGATATCGACATGTAGCTATTTGTTCATCTTTTAAATTTGGATTTATTTGTTTCAAAGCATCTTTAAATGACCATTGATTTGTTATTAATTGAGTAACATCAAAATAAGGTTTCTCCCAATTAGATTGTTTTCGTAATTCAAGTACATTTTTTTCGTAATAATTATTTGAATAATCATCACGTGTTAATGAATTCATATCACCCATAAGTATATCAATATTTTTTTTCAACGGATCAAATTCTTTAATTTGTTGTAATCGATTATTTTCATTTAAATAATCTAAATGTGTAACAGCAAATATTCGATCTTTAACAAATGGATGATCACTATATAAACAACATTGTAGTAAAGATCGTTTTCCACCTGAACAAAAACAACTTGTTTGTTGATTTGAATAAGATTTTATTGGATAACGAGATGCAATACCATTACCCAAAATATGTTTTTGACATGGTCCATATATAAAATGATTTAAACCAAGGAGATTACAGAATTTTGACCATTTCTCATCATCGTTTGCCTCTTGAACAGCAATCAAATCGAAATTATACGGTTTAAGAATTGTAACTAATCTTTCGACATTATTTTCATATGTCAAAGGATCAGCAAAGTGATGAACATTAATTGTAGCTAAGCGAAATGTTGTCATTGTTACTTGATAAATGATACAATCTACATAGAAAACAAACGATTCTTTTCTATTCTTCTTTTATATCATAAAATTGATTTTAAGTCTGTTAAATCTGTTGCTTTCTTCTTTTTTATGATTGCCAAAAAGCAAAGAACATTTTTACTGTCTTTCTTGTCAAGACGCATCGTCAGCTCACGCTTGAATGATTCGCAAAGAATTTTATACGTAAAAGGGAAGGATGACATGTTTAAATGTGCAGCAAACTCGATGTCAAATATTTCAATATCAATAAAGTTAATAAATATTGTCCCGATAATTTGTATTAGAGAGAGACAAGCAAAAAACAAGTAATATAAAGATGTACGATTTATAACTATAACATTTAGATCAATATATGACATCGTAACTTAGAGATGCACAAGCAGACAACTACAACTCACTACTCTATAATTTTCTCTAATACTATTTAATTAAAAAATGCCAGTACATCAGAATAATGAGGTCGAACAATATGTTACAACAGGAGAGAGAGAGAGAGAGAGAAAACAGTGGGAAAGACACACGAAAATTCGAAATGAGAAGATGACAACATAGGTGACGACAAACCTTGTCGTCACAAGGGGTCAAAAGAAGCACTTTTTTGCGTCATGATTAGGAATGATTCAAATGCATCGATAAAAGGAAAAAAGATAATTCTTGAAACAAACATTAAAAATTCCAAAAAAAAAATGATGAGAACAATTTAACATGTGTATACAAAAAATTCAACCTTAACGCAACTCTCGTTGATTCTAGTTCGTAACTGCAAATAAAATTTGGTATCCAAGTCGATCAGAACAATATTGCTTACGATCCAAAAACGGACCTTAAACGTTATAAAAATGGAATATTTACTGTAGTATAGCGTATCTATACGCTTCGTTTACTGTCTGTATTAGGTTGTATTATCTGGCGCTGAAATATGGACTTTATATTTATCCGTATCGTAAACGGACCTAGGGATGTGCGGTGTTAGTGACAAAACCGAAAAAACTGACACTTTTGTCACCGCCAGCGACACTCAGTGCACACCGATAGACTTAGTGTCACTGAGCACTGAAATATCAAACACACTGGCACTGACGCCACTGGAGCACCGATGACCAGTGCATCNCATGTTCGCATTCAGGAAAGAAGATTTACAAGATTATATTTTCCCTTTTCAATTCTCTATAGGAATAAAAATCATTTCGAATCCGTAGATAAATATGAAATTAAAAAAAAAGAAAAAGTAAATTAAAGTATAAAGTCAATAGTTAAAGTTTCTTTTTTAATAACATCATGATCTTTTCAACTAACCGAAAACTTTTACTCTATTAAGAACAAAAGCAAATAGAAACACGAAGCAAATTTTTATTGACTGTTTCTATAAGTAGTCAAACTACAGTTACAATTTTCATCTCCTTCTTATTCATCTGCACATAGAGTGAACGACATAAGTGGAAAATAAAAATCTCCTTCGGACACGACTGGATCTGATTCTATGATGACGTCGACTTATACTTTCATTCTATAAACAACTTCTAATAAGTTTTTATTCCCTCAAGTAATATTTTTTGTGTTATGAATGTGTCTGAATTCAAATAGGCTCATATATACAGAATATTCAACAGACATCCAGGTATATTCTACGCTCATTTCACCTTTCTATCTCTAATAAGCTTCACCAATGTAAAAATTCATCCAAATTTTTCAAATTATTCTAACAATATAAATCGATTTTAGCAATTAATAGAAAGTACATAAATCAACATTAACGTACATTTTTTCTTTACCATCATTCAAAAAACAACAGATCGATTTCTATTAAATTTTCAATTAGTTATAACTTTATAATTATAAGAAGCCAAAGATCCACACCAAATCGAAGAAAATTACTTTAGGAAATAAAATCTTTCTGAAAGAGCAATATTTTCGTGAAAAATATCAGTATACTATGTCATTTATACATTCTATCATACAGAGAAATTCATCCGTTCACATCTAGGCACAAGCCGCGAGATAAACAAAATATACCGAAATGTCCTTCAAATTGAAGTCGACTATTCTCTTTCCTTTTCTCTTCAACCATGTTAAAATTTTCATTTTTTTTTCTTTTCAGACTAGTCCATATTTCTATACTAGTCCACCGTTATTCATTCAGTTTGATAAAAGAAAAAGAAAATGTTATCTTTAAAGTTTAAATGTTTATTTATTTCGAAAAAACGAATCCTCTAAACTACTCATCTTTTTATATCTCACTCAACACACAAATCTTTTATTTTTTTTTTTATACAATGTATAACAATAGACACACACACACATACAGAGAAATCTATGGTCGCAAAATAATTCTTTTTAATGTCAATGAATATCATTGATAATAACATATAGAAAATATCAGACAACTACAAACTACATGAAATAAATGTCTTTTAGTTCAATTGATAAATTTATTTAATTGCTGGTTTCTTTGGTGAAGTTTTTTTTGTTGGTTTTGCTTTTGATACCTTTTTAGCAGGTGTTGCTTTTTTTGTTGCTGTTGATTTTGGTTTCTTTGTTGTAGTTGCCTTTTTAACTATTGGTTTAACGACTTTCTTTGTTGCTGTTGTAGCCTTTTTAACACCACCTGTTTTAGTTCCAGTTGGTTTTTTTGCTTTTGCTAACAAAAAAAAACAATATTAGTAAAAACAAAATTCCAAAAAAAAATATCTAATAATCTTACCTGGTGTTACTTTTTTTGGTTTAGCAGCAGCATTATCTGATTTAGGTGTTGCACTTGTTTTTGGTTTAACAAGTTTAGCTTTTTTTGGTTTAGCAGCAGCTGAAGTTGTTGCAGCTGAATTGTTTGTATCAGCAGCAGTAGCGACCTTTTTTGCTGGTTTTGTTCCTGCAGATTTTGAACGAGCACGTTTCTTTGTTGCTGTTGATGCTGTGCTTGATGATGTTGTTTTCTTTGGTTTAATTGATTTTTTAGCTGGTTTAACTTCACCTTTTGATGCTAATTTAAATGAACCACTTGCACCATTACCTTTTGTTTGTTTAAAATATTTCGCTTTAACACCATTTTTAAGTGCTAATTTAAGATGTTGATTAGCTTGAGTTGGATCAAGTGAATAGTTAGCCAAAACAAATTTAAGAATAGCAGCACGTGAACTTCCACCACGATCATTTAAAGCTTTTAATGCGGCTTTGATCATTTCGGAATATTTTGGATGTGTTGCAACGTGTGTTGATTTGCCTTTTGTTGTTGTTGTTTTTTTTTGTTTCTTTGGTGAAACATTTGCACTATTAACAGTTTGAACTGATGAAACTTGAGCAACTGTACCTTCGGTCATTTTTGATGAAAAGTTCTATTTAATAAAAAAAATTTTTTTTTTTTTTTTCTTTTCTATTTTACATTTAGTTGTTAACATACCTGATGAGAACTGTTGGGTTAATAAGATAAATTGTTTGTGTAGAATGAAGAGTGAGCGATGAACTCTGTTAATAGATAAATTAGTTAAGAGGAGGAGAAAAAATAAGAATCGATTTACATACCTGAACGCTGTAATTTGCGCTTGTTGTTATATGAAGTTAATGATAGTTGTGCACGATTATTTATACATCGATGGTATCGACTCTCACTTGGGTCATGCTTTGTTTTTATTCTTTTCCTTTCCTTTCGTTCGTCTATGTTATGTTGTCCGACGAGGTTTAAAACATTTTTTCCTTTCAAATATATTCGAATCCATATGGATAATTGAAGTTTTTTACGAAGTTTTTTTTGGAATTATTTTATGTTTGATATATCATTCGATAGAAAACTATTTTTTCTATAAGATTATATAAAAAAATTGGAAATTTTTATTAGTTTAAGTGAAGTTTTTATTGGTAAAAGTGGAAAAAACATCAATGAGTGAAGGAGATTTTGAGAATGATTTCGAAAATTTTTAAAGAAATTTTCTTTCAAATATAATAAATTTGATATTAAACGATAGAGAAAAATTTCCTCTTTAATTTCATATAAAATTTATATTAATATAAAGTATAAAATAAAACATTTTTATCGAAAAACTGTCGATGAGAACGAACAACATGGATTTTAAAGAAAATTTTCTTTTAGAAAATTTTTTCAAAAATATTTTCAATATTTTTATTTCAAACATTTACACTCTCTATCATGTTTAAAAAGCAAAAAAAAAAGTTTTCTTCATAAAAAAATTCGTAAAAAAATAGTTTTTTGCATTAACATATTTGAACATAGATGATCGAATACGAATCGATTAGATATATTCATCTTATATTCAAAAGATTTATTTCAAATAGATTATTATTATAAGAGTTCAATTAATAAAATTATTTTTATTGAAAATAATTTAAGATTACAAAGATTATTATGTTTGAAAAACTTCCAAAAGAGTTTTTTATTTTATTTTGTGTTATTATTAAAGAATTTATGAAGAATTCTTTTTCCTTTGATTGTGAATGAGGGTCGAATTTAGAAAATATAAAACAATATGAAAAGAGTATTGAATCTTTAATTTTTAAAATGTAGATTTCGAAATAAAAAAGTTTTTCATATATGAAATTTGATATTTAGTCAATGATCCATTTCAAACAGTTGAATTAATCAAGTTATGATTTACACTTCGCGATTATTAAATAAGAAAAAAGAGTTTTTTCCGTCATTGATTTATCAATAAACATGATTCCGATTAGATAGAGAAAGACCTTTGCTTTTTTTTTTTGTTTTTTTATTCAGATATTTTAGAGTATTTCATTTTATGATAGAATTTGTAAATCATTGTCTTTAGTGATTTTGATTTATCGAAAATATTTTTTCGTTATGTTTTTTATTAAAATGTAAAATTATATTTAATAAAATATTTATCGTTATTCTATTTATTGTTTTCGTATAGGATTAGTCGTTTTATTGATGAATCATTTGTTTTTCGTTTCGAAAATAACGAACTTTTTCAATATGAATAAATTTATTTCGTAATTAATTTCTATTGAAATATTCAATTATTTTTATTTATTATTGATATATTTGTGTTAATATGTTGAATAAATGTATAATTTTATATATATATATAGGATTTATTCTATTTAACAAATTTTTATTGTTATATGAAGTCAATGAAGAATCGTCCTTTAAAAAAAAAATATGATAAGATAAGAAAAATGAATAGTTCGTGTTTGGATGATTCAACTTGAAGTTATACTGAACAAAAAGAGTATAGATCGATTATTTCAAAATCGAATCATTTTATAAGTTCTTTTATATATTTATAGAAGTTAATTAAGAAAAATTTCTTCAATTTGAAGAAGTTTTAATAAAAATATATTAGTTGTTGTTTATAACTCGAATTAATTTGACAATGTTTTTAATACGTTACATACAATTGAGTTATTAACATATTTAATAAAAGTAAACAAAGGAATTTCCGTTAATATCAATATTATTTGGAAAATGATAAAAGTGATAAAGAAATCATAATTAAATATAGTATTGTGATATGCTTGAATATTATTTTAAATCTAAACAGTTCTTAATTGACTATTATCCAAATTGTGACGATCACAATTCATTTATAATTGCTGGATATTATTCTGTATTTATAGGCAGTAAGAACATTAGTTATATTCTTTTCTTCGAAATGTCTTGACCTATGTTTGCCATCTACGATTCACTGGAAAGTATATCTACAAGAAACATAAATACTGATGAATACATATTGTTACGTCTTTTAAATGAAGAAGATCTGTTAATCTACATAGCGAATCCGATCGTTTTTCGTATGTGAATAGTCGCAAGACGTCAAACTCTAAAGTATGTCATTTGCTTTTTTTTTTTTCTTTCTTTTCTTATTATAAAATAATACTTGTGTTAAAATATGTTTCTATCAAAGAAAATCTATGTGAAGTTGAGTCAACTTTGATTGATTAAATATTTACTAAATAATTATTTTTCAAAATGATCGCAAATAAAAAGACAAGAAAGTCGAAATATTTTATGCATTGTAGTTATGTCGTTATACTTTTTTATAAATTGAATTCTATTTTTCTATGTATTAATTATTTATTGAATATTCTACTAATGACAGTATAGTTATGTCAAAATCTTATAAATTGTTTGAAAAAAGAAAAAAGTTTATATATCTTGATTGAAATTTCTATATGTTTATTTATAATCAATGATAAAAATAAATTTTTAATATTAATTATCAACGACAATGTGAATATTTAAAATAGAATAACTAATACTTAAATTTAATTTTGACATTATTCTATGCATATGTTAGGCTTCTATATTTAAAAAAATATTTCTATAAAACAATTAATAGTATCATATTTTAAATATTTTCAAAATGATTTCATATTCGAATTATTAAAATATATTTTATTCAATTCAGTCATATAAAAAAAAAAAATGTAACTAAATAAAAATTATTTTCATCATATTAAAAAAATAATCAAACAATATGTATATGAGATCTTTATATATTTTTGTAAGTTATAAATCAAATCATCATAATAGGAAACAATTATATCATTAATTAATTTTAACATAATTGATTATGATGAAAGTCTTTCTTTCTATTCGCTTTTTATTTTAGCAAAAAAAAAAATTAGATAGTGCTATTGGTTAATTGTACTTACAACTATTAGAATATTACACAATAAAACGATGATACTATACTTTTTAAATGGAATTATTTTCTTATATTACTAATTTTCTCATGAAAAAATTTAGAAGATAAAAGATATTCGTCACACTCTACTCATAAATAAGTAAATTTTAACATTTTTCAAGAGATTATACTATTCAGTCTACCTTAAAAAACTTTTACAATTTTATATTTCTGGCAATTCTTTATAAACTTTGTTGGTTATCACTACGGAAATGAGCACCACATAGATCAAAGAGTCTATTTCCGACATTTTCTTTCTTTTCTTTTTTTTCATATTTCATCAAATAAAAGTTTTTCCCGTTCCTCACGTATAATAAATAAAACTGATTCAAAAAAAGTTAATGAGCCATTAACTTTTGATGAATAATCTGGTATTTATACAGCTAAGTATATCTTTAATGATAAGTATCTGTTACAATAGTCAAATGGATAACGAATGTGCACAACTCTTTTTAAAGATTATTTATTTTAAAATTGCACATATCTTTTATGAAAAATAGAACATCATCATTATATCACCTATTCCATAGACTGTAAGAACCGACTCTAGCAACAGAAGTTCACCTGTATCTGTCTATCTGTAACATAGTTACCAATTATCATATCTATAGTCCAAATGATCACCTGATAACGATGACACGAGTGACTATGTATGATAACAAAAAAAAATGACATCTAGATATTAGGATTCAAATCAATGGAGAAGTAATATCCACGACGAAGTATACGAAATCCATAAACATTTCGTATTTCACTGTATACGATNCTTCTTATTGTTAATAATGTTTCATTTGTTTTCATTTGTAATAAAATATCTTCTTCAAATTGTTTCCAACCAAATAATGTATCATCAATATGATTATTAACAAATTTATCATAATAAACTGAATAAATACGTCGAAATGGATGACGAACAAGAAGAAATTTAAATAAATTTTTCGTTTTATTTTTAAATAAAAATTGAAAATTTTTATTTAAATAATATTTATTAAAATAATTCTTATTATCAAACCAAATATTTTTTCTATTAAGATTTAAAAATGAATTTGATAGATTTAAAGTTAAATATCCATAAATAAGACGTCGAAGATTTGTTGATGCAGCTTTTGGAATATCACAATAAATAATTTTTAATTTTGGAATATAAACTATATTTGAATAAAATTTTTCACTTGGCGTTACATTTTTCTTAAGACAATAATCAATAGATTTTGATTTCTGTTCATTCTTTTTTAACAATGACAAATCAACATGAGAAAAGACAAGAAAATTTATAAAGATTAGACATAAGAAATAAATCAATCGACGACGTCGTAACATTTGATTAAGAAAAAACAACTTCGTTCTTTTTTATTTTTAGAAGGTAAGTAAAGTCTTTAATTCTCGTTTTTTTTTCTTAAGGATGTTAAAATGTAAACTCCTGAAAAAAAAAACGTGTCAAGCATCAACGAAAGACAAACGAATCGAATGAGAAAGTTACATGCTCATACAGAACGAATAAGAATTTTCGAAATGATATAGCGTTTTATTCAGATTTTGTCTTTTAAAACAATGATTTAATACTTCAGCAGGGCGGATATTTATTTTTCGAAGTATAGACACATAGTATGTAATACAATTAGAGATATGCAGAATCAGTTTTAGTTTCAGTTTCGGTTCCGATCACTGCAGGATTGAGATCAGAACTACGAGAGAAAAAAGTTGTTTGAACTGTAAGTAAAAATTTTATTTAAATTTTCTGTGGTTTTTACTAAATAGTGTCATAATCACATTGATAAAAGCAAAATCTAGAAGAGATGGTCAAAAAAAGTGACATTCGCTAATGGGATTTATCAAAATACGAGTATTTAATATTTCTCTAACTACAATAATTACAAACTTCCGAAAGGTCAACTCAGTCTTCGGAGAAATGTCATTTCTTGAATCCCTATACTAGAAAAAAAATACTGAATTGAATATTTGATTGTTGTGGAGTCAAACCATTTCTTTGAATTTCTTCATCTTTAGATCTTCAAGTGAGTGACTTGACATATTGCAAGTTTTTTTTTTTATTTTATGGAATTTTTATACAATTCAAAAATAATACTTGATGAGAACATAGTTCTCTGGAAGATAATATGGAATAGATTTTCGATAACAAAATGAAAGATCTCTTAGCTATTAATCTGTACATTATGATAGAATTAAGATAAATTTAATGGAAATTAATGCAATATAGGACACAGTTAGTATATCCAATAGTATTGATTGGAATAAGATAAATTTAGTTAGAGCAAGCTTAATATAAAAATATATTTCATAGAAAAAGGTAAAACACCTTGTAGATCTCGATTTTCAGATCTGTATAATAATGAATTGAATTTGTATGAATAATATAGAATCAATGCCGATCTTAGTAGTACTATTTTTTTGTAATGTTAATCTCATATAATCTCTATCAATTATCTAACAGATGTGCAAAACATCTCATTTTTATCGATGAATAATTACTCTGTTCTGTTGCCAAATAAATAAACATTATTCTTAGAATATGATTGAATAACTTTATATGATTGAGACGGTGAACAGAAGTTGATTAATAGACGCCTACTCTCATACTTCCAAAAAAGTCAATCAACTGATGTAATGCAGACTATTATATATACATATAATAGTTGGATCGCAATTAATGTTCACTTTTTACAAGTCATCTTTTTATCATCTAATACATTTAATTAATAAACAAAATATATAAGAAAATGCACTGAGTAAACTTTTTAATGATGCGAACGTGATAATTTTTTTTATCTCATCGATTAAAGAGATTTCTATTTACTGTTGAAAACTCCTTGTCATTAGAACGTGTTTATGCTGCTAGTCGATGGAAGATATAAATTAAAAGGTTAATTATACAAAAAAGAATTATGGCATAATTAGATGCTTCTAAAAATAGTTTCATGTTTCAAATTACACTAGAATCTGGTAAAACACAATGACATGAAAATTATATTGAAGTTATTCTTTGACATGTTCAATCTCAAGGTAAACGGCTGTTCATCCATTATTTAATTTCTAAATAAAACAACGCAATGCTTCATACACATTAAACAAAATTAACATTGTAAACAAAGGATTTCGGACATTATTTATAGACAAGCACAAATGGCTAATAAATAATTTCGATCTAAACGCTTTGAATTATTCAACATGAGATGACATCGTCAATAATATACAATTAGGATCATACTAAAAATCATGATTCTTAAATCACTGAAATACAATATCAGACAAACAATCAGGTTCATACTGTCGAAAACAGATCGAACAGAATTTTATCTTTAGTTAATAAAAAAAAAGTGTATGAATAAAAATAAGCTTTTCTTTCTAAATAATCGAGTTTTTGTTTTTCGGTACATTCTATGGTATATTTTACTTTTTTTCAACAGAACATATGAGGCAATGAAAATAAGACTTGCAAAAATCGATCATTCATTATGACTCGCCTGTCATATATTAAATTTTTTTCAATATTTCAAAACGAAACTAAATACGTATAAGAAAACCAACCAATCAAAACGTTCGACATCTTGGACAAACTAAAATAAAATCTATTTCTAATTAAAAACTAATATTTATAATATGCGAAAATATCAGCCATTGATATCCTCACAAAATTCTCTATATATGATACTCAGTTTTATTTATTAAACTTTGATAAATATGAATAAAGTAACAATAAACGAAAAAAAAAAACAGAATTGCATATTCTTTGGTTTTTTACTTTCGATTAGTTCTTCACTCAAAAAGTGAGACAAAAACCATAAAAGCCACACCAATAATTAATGCAATCATTTCTAATACTGATTGTTTAAATCCAGTATTTGTTGCTAATAATTCTGGTATAACACTAACAGTTGCTATATAAATAAAACCGCCAGCTGTTATTGGAAGAAATGTTTGTGCTGCCCATATTTGCGCACCAGCTGAATGAAATAAAAGACCAATTAAACAACCAAGTAAAGCACCAATAGCTGTTGTTAATTGTAAAAGCATTGCCTAATTGATAAAGATTACTCTAAGATTTACAGAGAAATAAAATGTTAAAAGAATACAAACTTTTTTTCGACTACATCCATTTTGAATTAAAATAGCATAATCACCAATTTCATGTGGAATTTCATGAAGAAATATTGCAAATGTTGTTACTGATCCTTAAAATTGAATAAAATAGATATGTAATGATTTTTTTTTTTATCATTTTATTTTTACCAAGTTTTCGTCCAAGTGAATATGATGAACCAATAGCCAATCCATCAGTAAAATTATGAAGAGCATCAGCAATCAAATTTAAATAACCAGATATTTTCATATCACTGTGTACTACTACTACTAATGATAAAAAAGAAATAAAATTTTTATATTAGAATAAATTCTTTTTTTTTATAAAATAAAACCTGGTTGTGTTTTGGCTTTTTTTGGTGATTTTTTTCCTTTTTTCTTACCATTGTCATCATCATCATCATTATCATCTTTATCACCATCATCATCCTTATGTTCTGATATAATAGGTGCAGCTTGTTCATGAGCATGACTATGGGAATGTCCATGACCTTGAAAATAAATCGTTTAACAAAAAAAGAAAAACTTCATAAGAAAATAAATTTACCTTTTATATGTCGAACAAATTTTTCAGTAATAAGAAAAAGAAATATTCCTAAAAGAATATATAAACCAACACGAAAATCAGCTGCTTGACTATGTTCATGAGAATGAGAATGTCCATGTTCATGATTTTGATTACTACCATAAGATGACATTGCATGAGGTATTAAATGTAAAAATGCATCACCTAATAAACCACCAGATGCAAAACTTAAAAGAATTTTTAAAAGTGATTGATGTGTTGGACTATTACTAACAGGAATAAAAAATAAAATAACAACAGGTGCTAAACTTATTCCAATTGTTGAAAAAATTGCCCAAGACATAACAGAAAATGGTGCCGATATATCCTCATAATCATCATCGTCATCACTTCCTTCATTATAATGTGGTGGAGGATAAGTTACTGCTTCTTCATTATGTGAATGAGAATGTCCATGATGAAGTTCATTTGCTTCTCGAGAATATTTAAATGAAGGTGGTTCTTCATGAGCATGACCATGATCGTGAGCATGTCCGTGGTCGTGAGCATGTCCATGATCGTGAGCATGTCCATGGTCGTGAGCATGTCCATGATCATGTTCATGAAAATGACCATCAGAGTTTATCTTACAAATTAAGATAATTAAAGTTAGAAAAATAAGAAATAGAAAGCGTTGCGTCATGATCTAAAAATATAAACAAATGCAATTATTTTTGTTTATATAAAAAAAGAATTATGTTTATATTTAATCATCAGAAGATTAATTTTTTTTCCGATGGTGATACATATGTTGTACCACCTGCATTTTTCTTTCAGTAGAAAATAAAATATTTTTCTTACATTAAAGTATTAGACCTTCAAAGCCTGAAGGTCATTGTGGCCCCATCTGTTCTTTTTATGAATAATTTTTTGCTTTCTTTTGTTTTTTTGTCTAGATTCTTCTCAGATATTTTCTTTCTACTACTATGTAGTGACATCATGAAATCTCTCTCGTCTCAGGATATATATTATCTTCCGAGAATATTTAAGAAGAATCTTACCCTTTATTGCTTTTCATATAGATTTGCTTCTGTTTTCATTGACAAAGTAAGACTGTTCTTGATTTTTCAATTGAATCAGGTAGCTCAGGGCTATAAGTATAAGTCGATAGAATCATCAACGATGGCACAGTTAATTAGCTTATATCACTACTAGAAGTCAACTGTCCTACTTAAAATAACACGGTTTTAGTTATGGAATATCTCGCCATCAACGATAAGCGGATAAATCTTGGAAGATTTTTTTCTAATAATAAACCTAAACTAGTATGCCTACAGTCTATTCTTCATTTGGATTACGAAATGTATTTGTTTATAAAACAAAAAATAAAGACACGAATAATATATGCTTACTGAAGCATAACAGATATGCATGTTAGATCAAACATCGAAGGTATTACTTGCTAATCACTATTTCGTTTAAAAGATAAGAGAAATTGTGTGTGTCTTTTTTTTATTTATTATCAATCAACTAATCTGATTAACACGAGTATTCGTGCAAAGTTTCGAGTCGACACTTCAAAGTCGATTATCCATCCACTTGACCTGAGAAGGATCACAACTATTTGTTGAAAAGTCTACTCAAATTTCGATATCACAAAAATGAAGATTCAGAAAAGTAAACCATTCTAAACTTTTCTAACACTCATCAAATAAACATCGTCTCGATCAAAAAGAGATTAAACATCTGCAAAGATTACCTCGTTATTCCAATACGTTAAACTAACATTTTTAAAATTAACATCGCGTATTTTATTTTTTCGCTATATATATATATTATCATTAAGAATCTTATGTGAGAATAAAAAATTAAAATTTATTCCATTTTTTTTCAAAGTAAAATTCTACGGCAAACGTCTACTAAAACTACCAGCAATCTAAAACAAAACAAACAAAATCACAAAAAAAAAGGGGGGAATCGAATGTTTCTCTTCCATTGGTTTATCCTTTACCTAGTTGTCAAATCTACAAAACAAGAAAAACAGAAGAATCAAACATGTTAATATATATATATATGCAAACACACATATAATATGTGAAAAACTACAAAGACAGCAAGTCTAAAAAAAAAAAACCAAGCAATAAAATATTTTGGTAATACCAAAAAGACAAAAAAGAAAAGAAAAGAATGTTAGAAACTTGAAATGATTATCAACTCGAAAGAATTAAAAAGACAAAGATGAAATATTTTTCTAATCTAATCAAAGAGATCATCTCTATCACAGTAACAAAAACAAATACAGAATAAAATGGCAACGACAAAAACCAAAAACAAAACATCAAATTATTGTTGTTTATCTGGATCACTCATATGTCTGGAAAGATCTTTTAACATACCAAATGCACGTACACGTCTTCGACCTATTTTAAAATTAAAATCAAATTCATTTTTTTTTTCTTTTTCAATACTTAATAAACATACCAAATAATTTAGCAAGTGTTTCATCACAATTAATATATTGTTTGTTAACAGGATCCTACAAAACAAAAATATCATGTTAAATATTAAATTCAAAAATAAAAAAAAAAGAATCAATTTTACCAATAAATTATGTTGTTTAAAATAAACCCACATACGTTTAACAACTTCGGATCGAGGCATCTAAAAATAAAAATAAAAATAAAATAAATAAAAATAAAACTAAAATAATATACTTGATGTCCTCCAACAACACTAGCTAATTGATCACTTAAATCTAATTCTTTATTATAACATGTTCGTCGTCGTTCAATTGCAAGTGATGGTGTTGTTGGTTTTCTATATACTGTTGTTATACTTGTAGAACTCTTAAGAAAATAAAATAAAAAAAAAAAAAAAAACAAAATTCTTTTTTTTATATTTTTAAAGTAAAATTTGTAATTAATAATTTACAACAGTTCGTCGAAGACTTGGACGATTTTCTTGTTGATGAATTTCCATAGCTATTTCTTCATCTGATTTATTTGCTTGTTGATTATTATCATTATTATTTGATTGTATTTGCATGTTTTTTGTTTGTGAATTATCATCTGATTTTTGACATTGTATATCATTATTCATATTACTTTGTTCAACATTTATCTGATTTATTGGCATTGGCATTGTATCACGTGTTGTTATTTCAGCCATAAGTATGTCATCAATTTCTTTTTTTCGTTCAGTAAAATCACATTTAAATATGGCTTCAAGCATTTGTCGAACTTTTTTTGATGATAATGTATTTAAATCAGCATCTTTTAAAATTATTTGAATTTCTCGACGTAATTTATCAGCAGAAACCGAAGCCATCTGATCGTTTTCTTTCAAAAATTTAACAGTCAACTATAGTCTGTCAATAATACAAGGTCACAAGCAAATCTACAACAAATAATAGTAAGAGAAAAGTGCACAATATATGAATAGTTCAAAACAAAATTGATGTCCATCATTCATTTGTTATTCAATTTTTACCAATCAAATTTTTAAATTTTACCTTCATCTTTTTATTCTATTCATTTTACCAACTTAATTATGTACAAAAAAAATTCAAAACATTAATAAAATATTTTCCTAGTCAATTCAATATGAATTTTTTATTATCTAGTAGATGTCAGTGATATGCAGGACTAACAAATGGAAATTCTTTCATATTGTGTCATACGATATGTTGTCAATCTAGATTTTCATATTCAAATCATAATCTTATTGAATCCTTTCTATATGAGATGAAATATGTCGTTTGATTTCTTTTCCAATAAGATTTATGTTTTCAACAAGGTCTCAGTATTAATTAATTGCGCATGGAAATATTATATAGAAAAACGAAGCATTAAATTAGAAAGTAATGAAAATTTATAAGTTATCTGTAGTTGATTTACTTTGACAACTAGTTCATATAAAGTGCATTGATATTGTTGCACTCCATAACTATCTTTTTTTGTTTTTTTATTATAAAGCTATTTATTTGCTAAAAAGTCAAACAAGAAATATAGGAAGAGAAACATATTTTTCGTGATTTCCTTTGATTTCCATCAGATTTACTTTTTTTCTTTAATGTCTATTGTAATCAGTCAATATCCGATCCAGTACAAGTTGAACTTCAATCATAAATTATTCTATATAAATCAATCGATCAAATTTTGTTTTGTTATTGATCATATATGTTTTTTTTTGTTTTTACATTTATTAATTTATTTTGATTAATTTGACTTTTGTGAGCAATAGGCAACGAATCAATAATTTTTTTATGTTTGAAGAAATAATATTTCACTGAAGAATATTCATGAATCAACTGATCTTTTCCTTATCTTTTTATTCTTCTAGATAAATTGATTTGTACGATAAGAGAGTATTAGGGAACATTAGGAAAAAAAAGGTTGTTTTTGTTCTTTCAAATAGCTTAAGGGTAACATTCGATCTATCTCATATAATCACATATATAGATGTGAAAAAAAAAGAGAGATGATCTTTATTACAAATGACAAATGATTTTTTGCTTTTCTTCTGCCATCACGCATCATCTCCTTTAGTTCGCCTCTGGTGCATATATCACATGAGATATGATCCAGTCGTCATTCTCTATATCTACTTCTAATGATCTGTATCCTGTTCATTGTTGTTGAAGAATAGTTTTGTAGTAGGATGCAAACAGCAGCTGTTGCTCTTATATATATATATATTCTTGTATATTAGTAGGAAATTTTTTTCTTTACCTCTCAATAGACTAATGGGAAAGAAGAGCGTGCTTTTTTTCTTTTCTTTAACCTATTTTTAGACTTCGAGTTCTTTAATTGATTTGGTTCGTTTGTTAGTTTCGAACTACTTTCTCGTGGGACGTAACGAGAGGCAATATTGCCCAAGGAAATTTCCGAGTGTTAGACCGATTAATCAGACCATATACTTCTACATTCGCTCGTATTCATAAACATTACCTCAATGAATAAATAGAGAATTAACACAACAGGAGCTCAAATCCTTGATTATTCTCTTTAGTCAACAAGCTGTCTTGAGTTCTCTTCAACAAATAATACACTATACACAAAGCATAAAAAAAGAATTACAAGATGCCACAACATACAAACGAGCATAAGATAAGAATTTGCAATAACGATCATCATTGCTCGATATAGACAATCACTGATTGCAGCATGATTAGAACTGTCAACGTCTTATGTATCTGAGTATATATCTTGAGTTGAAACATACGACAATAAAAAAGGGATACAAAAAGAACAATTAAGTTCGTTTGGCTTTGCTGAAGTCATATCAATAGATTCCTTATCATATATAACAAACACATACTAAAAAAAAAACAGAAGAAGAAAACAAGATTCTCGAGCTTCTGATGATGATAAGATGATGATAATGATGACGACGAACGACAACATAGAATGAATTCTAGCTTTAATTTATACAAAAAAAAGCCAAAACCATTGACAGAACAAGGAACACACAATAAAAGACTGCAGAAAATGATGCACACATACATCAAAAACATAATGGAAAAAATATAATCCAAGAAGCCTTAAGAATACACAAATACACACAAACACAAACATTTGATGAAGTTGATGAAAATTTATGTGTTTACTTGATTACAGGTGAAAGTTGTTATATGAATATTTATTTATACCACATAGATTATTCTTTGACTCAATTGTATTAGAGATAATCTAGAAGGTGTGAACAATTCAATTATCACGCTGTATGTGTGTCGATCTATGAAAACACATTCTTCTCATTGCCATTATTGCTTTTATTGTCGACCCAAGGCGACTTGATAATGCCAGTTCTATAATAATAATAATAGTAATCATCGTCATCGACAACGACAACGACGACGATAACCAAAGAAGAATAAAACGAAGACGAAGAAGTAAAAGAAACATCAACTGTTACGACTGGTTAAGTAACAGATCTTATCACCTGTCGCTAATCAAAGAAATAAAGGGTATATCGGAATAAATGGTGCAGCCAGTTTTCTTTTAAAACTAGGCAATATCGAACCACTCATATGTCTCAATCATGCACTATACTAATAAATAACAACGTGTATACAACGAAAGAAAAGCGTTAACATACAAGAGAAGAAATCAATTTCGTTTTTCCTGCCGTTCTCTTCTTCTCTCTCTCTCTCTCTCTCTCTCTCCTTCCTTTCATCGTTCTCCTTTTCTTCTTTTTGGCCATAATTGCTACAATTGGCAACTGTGAAAATACACACACACACACACACACACATATACACACATACAAACAGAACACTATACACATTGGTACATACGTGCTCGTTCCAACTATTACTCGTGCGCACATTGTATAACGACGTCGATAATAATAATAATGATAATCTTTTGTTTTCTTTTGTGTTCAATAATTGATTGATTTAGTAATACATCGTTCTCACTTATATATAGATATATATATATCAAAGTCTATTACAATTCATATTGACTATTTTTCTTACTTTTTATTGTTTTTCTGACATTACCATTATTATTAATCAGTATCGTTTGTGAAAATCACGAATGTGCGATTCAAGTTAATGTTTTATTCAATTGTTTTCATATTTATCTTCTATATTTCCAATAGGAAAATTATAGCTCAAACATGTGTCCATTCATCGGATCCATTAGTACGATGTACGGCACAAGGTCTTATACGTGGTATACGTTCGGATTTTTCTGTTAATGTATCAACTTTAACAACAACAACGATTGAATCAAAAAGTGTTTATGCTTTTCTTGGTATTCCATATGCTGAACCACCTAATGGTGAAAAGCGTTTTCGTAAACCAATTTCAAAACGACCATGGCCACGTGGTACTATTTATGATGCAACTAAATTACCTAATTCATGTTATCAAATGATTATTGAATTTTTTAATACAACAGGAGAAAAAATTTGGGCACCATTTACACCATTAAGTGAAGATTGTTTATATTTAAATATTTGGACACCAATAACAGCTCAACAACAACAACCATTAGCTGTTATGATATGGATTTATGGAGGAGGTTTTACATCTGGATCGGTAAGTTAATCAAAGAAAAAATAATATATAATTTAATTATTTGAAGAAATTCTTTTCTTTAGAGTACATTACGTATTTATGATGGTTCAATATTAGCTTCAACACAAAATGTAATTGTTGCTTCAATGGAATATCGTGTTGAATCACTTGGTTTTCTATATTTGGGTACATCTGATGCACCAGGTAATCAAGGTTTATATGATCAATTATTAGCGGTTGAATGGATATACAAAAATATAAAAAATTTTGGTGGTGATCCTCAACGTATAAGTTTAGTTGGTGAATCCGCCGGTGCCGTTTCTGTTGGTTTACATTTATTATCACCAAAATCACGTCCTTTTTTTCATAATGCTATATTAGAAAGTGCTGGTCCAAGTGCCAAATGGGCTGCTTTAAGTCCCCAAATAGCAAAATTTCGTTCAGAAAAATTTTTAGATATTTTTACACGTTATATAACTGAACGTTATGAATCAGGTCCAACAGATCCTGAATATGAATTTATACCACGACAATGTCAAAAACGTATGTTAACAATTGAAGATAAATTTCAATGTATTAAAAATTATCCAATTCTAAGTCAAAATCATTTTCGTTCATCATGGGCACTTGAATCATACAATGGTGGTCCTGTTGGTTATACATTTGTACCAACAATTGATGGTGATTTTATACCTTATGATCCTGAACAAATGCTAATTAAAGGTGATTTTAAAAAATGTCCTATTTTATTAGGTGTAAATAAAGATGAAGGATCATATTTTAATGTTTATGTACCATATGGAAATCTGAGTATTGATTCTTGGCCTTATGTTGATTACAAAACATTTAAGCATGCTATTAAAGAATATTTTCGATATATGCCAACATATCCAACTGAAAGAGCACCTATGCTATTGGAAAGTATTTTACAAACGTATACAAGATGGCATGATTATAATAATACCGTACAAAATGCTATTCAATTGAGTTTAGCTGTTGGTAAGAGCTTTGTTTTTTTCTTTGCACAAAATGATATTTGAATATGTTTATTTTTCTCCACAGGAGATTATCATTTTACGTGCCCAACTGTGTTTCTTGCCGATATTTATGCACAAGAGAATCTTCCACTATATTTTTATCATTTTACTTTACGTTCGTCTATGAGTCCTTGGCACGAATGGATGGGTGTACTTCATGGTAATGAAATATTTTTTACGGTTTTTTTTTTAATTAGATCTCATCTTAAATACTGTTGATATATATATTTAGCTGATGAGATTATGTTTATTTTTGGCGAACC